GGGGGCCTTCTGGCTGGGCCAAGGTCTCTTTCTAGGCCTTCCCTCTCCCCACTTCCAGCGCACCCCTCTCTGCTGCCGGGTCCACCCTTCCCCGCTGGCCTGAAGAGCAAACTGCTGGTTGCCCCGTGAGTCCTTGAAATTTCTTTTCTGAGGTTGTCCATTTCCTACAAAAGCCCCTAATTTGGGAGGCTGGAGGCTCCTGCCCTTACTCCTTCCTGCTCCTGAGAATGGATATTATCTGCAGGCTGTGCAGCTGCAGGGCAGGAAGCCCATCACCGGTTCCTTCCCTCCCTGGATTAGCCAGTGAAAGCCTTAAGAAATGGGATATGTGTACAAAATAAGTAGCAACAGAGGGTTTTCCACCTGGGCTGGGCCCACCGGTGCAAAGCCTCCTGTGGTTCTGTGGCGGGAGAACCTTCTGGACGTGCCTGTAGAAATACCTTTTTTGCCCCCGCATCACAGCTTTTCCTGGTCACAGCTCACCTTTTTGTCTTGTTTCCCTCTCTGTGTCCAAGTCTGTGGACCTACCTGGTGCCTGATTAAGGCCCAGGCTGTTTGGTGACCCACCTTTCTGAGTGTTCTCAGGAAGGACTTGGACATGTCCTTCCATGGACTAGGACATGGACTTGGCACCTACAGACCCCTGCCTTGGACAGTTGCCTGTTCCTGCCTGTCCACACGAGAGTGGCTTCTCTTTCCAACTAGATTTCAAGCTGTGAGTCAGGTCCTATCTCATGATTCTTTTTTTACTTCCAACAAAGATAAACACAACTTTTAATCATTCATTCAGAAATACTCGCCGACTCCCTACTAAGTGCCGTTGCCACTGTGCTAGGCCTTCCACAGCTTACGATCTAGAGGGGGAGGCACGTTACCACATCACGTTCATAACACGCAACGTTCGTTTCTCTGGGAAAGCCCGGAGAACGTGAGCCTGGCGGCCAGGCTGCTACGCGCAGTGCGGAGGCCCGGCAGCCGTTTGTGGAGCGGCCAGGTTTGACCCGTGTGACCCGGCAGTGTGCCGGGCCGTGGGGTCTGCACCAGGTGAACAGAAATCCTGTTGTGGGTCAAAGACGAATTGTCTGTTCGTGGGCATTTCTTCGGACCCTGATTCTGTGCCTTTAGAGCACCGTGTGCACAGGAAGAACACAGCAGCCGTCGGTGTGGGAAGACCGAGGTGGGAGGAAGACACGTGCATGTGCCCCTTCCACAGCCCTTCTTTTCTTGTCACCGTTCCTTTCTTTCTCTTGGACATCTGTGCCTGCCTGCTTGGTCTGACAGTGAGGTTTCTTACGTTTTCCCGCTTGCAAACTCTGTCACTTTGCAAGCAGACAAGAGTCCTGTTGCCTTGCAAATGCCCCCTGAGCTGGCCCTCCTGACTGGAGCAGTGGGCCCTGCAGGGCTACCGGGCTGAGATATTGATCGTCAGAGGCGATGGCAGTGTGCCGGTGAGAAGCACCCAACTGAGAGGTTGCCTGTTTGCAGGCTTCTAACAGTAGATCTTATTTTCTATTACCAAGGAATTACAGGAAGAAAAACCAGCAATGGGCTCTTTCCAGAGTCAGAAAGCCTTTCAAAGCAACAGGCAGGGGTGGAGGACTGGACAGGCAGAAGGTGGGCCCCCTGCTGGTGACCAGCGGTGGTACCAGGGCGTCTCTGCAGGCCCCTCGTACCTGCCCACCTGCCAGGGCAGGAGGCCGTGGTGTTTCCTCTCGGGGAGGCGGGAGGTGGAGGTGGAGCACGTGCCCCCCTAGATGGAAGGAAGAAAATGGAAACAAGTTCACAGCTGCAAGCTCTTCCTCTAGTGAGGCATAACTATTTTAAGGGTCAAGTTGAATATAGAAACCTATAAATGTTAAAATAGACACAAAATATTGTACTTCTGGTACTTCAGAGTCCAGATTAGTCAACTGTTTCAAAGTGTCCTTGCCAGGACATAAGAATGCCCGGTGCAGTAAATATTGTATTTTTCTCTCTTTATTTACCTGTAACATCCTAAGTGTTTGTGAAATTTGTTTTGAATGGAATAGGCCTAGACAGAGGCACCAGGTGGGTATAGGCTTTTGAAGTAAAATGAACCTTGGCTTCAGGAGCCCCAAGCAGCCCAGGAGAGCACCTCGCCCGAGCCCCAGGCTGCGCAGCTGAGCTGCGATCCAGCTAAAGCTGTGAGGGCGCTAATGAAGTGAGCCCGCTGCCGCCGCCTCCAGGAGGAGGGTGTGAGGGAGGCTAGCACCGTGTTTATTCCGGGTTGTGCATTTTGCATGCCAGATGGCAGGGTATTGGTTTTCCTTTTTCTCCAAGATGCCTTCCTCCATCAGGAGCCGCACTTTGCTCTGAGATGGAAATGAAGCGTCTCTCAAATGGGCCTTCGGAAGGAGTGCAAACATCTCCATGGTGGCTGAACGCACGCTAGGTGGCTGCTGCCCTATGTTTGCCCACGAGTCTCTAAGACACGAGACAGGAGAAGAGTTACCTCCCATTGCCTGCTTTGCTGGCCGGGAAAAACCTGTTATTTCTGAGGATCCACAGTGGGGATGTACCTGCCGTCTGAAACTTCTTCTTGATCAACAACTGAATGTAATAAAAAGATGCATTTGTGTTAAATGTGTACCATTTGCACAGAGGGGGCGTGGGCCTCCCCTTATTCCTCCTGAACAGGCTGTCGTTCCTGCCCCCAGCTTCTTGTCTCAGAGCTGTTTCTCTTTGGGGACCCTCTCGCCCCAATTTATGGTAGCCAAGCCCTTGTCTGTAACACCTCAGTCCAAGGGCCACTTTCTCCCAGAGGCTCCCAGCCACCTGAGGGCCGACAACTGCCCTGCATCTCTCCATGTCACGTGTAGTTGTCTCCTCACTTGTACGACCACACACCGTAATTCCATGTCACCTACTGACCAACGTGTGGTTGGCTGCTGTGCCGGCCGAGCAAGCCCGAGCTTCATGGGGCATGAGCTTCACAGGTGAGCTTTTGTCCTGCTCGGCTCGTCTCCTTCCTGGAAAGGTGCCTGGAAAGCGAGAGCTCAACCAATTGTTGTTTAATGATGAGCTAATGGAGGAATAAGCCTTTGTGTAGTGATGGATGAAGGGATGAGTGAATATATTTCTGATGATGAATTAGTGAACAGAGGAAGAAAACTGAAGACCAAGTCGGTAATCTGGGAGAGAAACACAGACCTATTCCAGAAAGTAGAGAAAAAGAGAAAGAGTTGACAACTGTTAGATAAAGCTAATTGAAACAATGGCCAAGCCATGAGGCCCAACCTCATCTGGCAGGAGTTCTGGAAGAAGTGGTACAGAAACGAAAAGAGAAGAAATTTACAGAAAACTCCTTGGCCCAGAATGGGGATGGTACCAGGTCAAAGGGCCAAAAGTGCCTTGAAGGAGGAATAAAGGAAGCAAACTCCTTGCCCAGGAAGAAAGATTCTGATGAAACGTTAGAACCTAAAGCTTTCCCCAGGGGGACAAAGCGGCTGGGTCACTTGACTTCCGAAGGCATGAGAGAGCGTGGTCGCCTTCCAGTTTCCCGCCTGCACGGAGAAGTGTGGCACTCAGATATTCGAGGGGAAATGACTGCGTGTCTCTGTAGCCAGACTCACGTTCAAACGTGGGAATTAGTACTTTGCTTCTGGCCACGCTGGAATCATGGGAACTGGGTCCCTGCTCCCACCCTAACAAAGAGCTGGATGCTGGAGGACTGAACCATTTCAGAACTTGGGCAACTGGCAGCTTAGCTTAATGCCCCCCAAATAAGGGAAGAGTACGAGGTGAGCCGTAACGGCCAGCTTTCCTCCTGGGGGTATGCTTGTGACATGGGGCAGGAAGGCGGGTGAGGAGACTTGTCGTTAGGGGTCTGAGCCCACCAAGCACACATGCTGGAGAGGAGGGGACCTCACAGAGCACTAGGGGCCAGTGTGAGTGTGAGTGTGCAAGGGGAAGGGCCGCAGGGTCAGGCAGGCAGGGGGCTGTGGGACGAGGGGGCCCTTCGTGGGGCTGGGAGACATTAGAATCCCCTGCAGCCCAGCGGAGAGCCCTGTCTTCATGCGGGACACTCAGCACGAGCTCCAGGAGGGCTGCCCATGTAGTGGGGCTGACCTCGCCTTAGACAAGAGCTGCTGGCCCCTCCCTGCATGAAACTTCAGACCAAAATCGCCACAATCAGCCCAAACAGACTGAGAGACTCTTAATGGCCGACCAGCACAAGGCCCAGCAGCTCCGTTCTGTACAGATGGCAACAGAATTGGGGTACCAGCAGCATCCAGCGTCTGCTTGACACTGACGTGGCAGCAGCAGGAGCAGGCGACCTGCAGCTTGGAGAAGGAGCCGTCAACAGAACCAGACCTCGGCAGGACAGACGAAACGGAAACATTAACCAGGATGCTCAGGGAGGTGGTGAAACTAACTATGGTCCAGAGTTTAAACACAACCGTGAGCTGGGACAGGTGGCCCCGGGCCTCACCCTGCCAGACTCGCCACCGCTAGCAAGTTGGATCAGACGTGACGTGGAGACTGGGGAGGCTGCTGCCACCAAGAGTTGCGTGTGACATGGAGGTTAGGCACAGGCTGCCACTGGAAACCCCTTCACGTTGCCAGAGCCTCAAATAACACATTTAACAATAGCACAACTTCGTAAGGTGATCAGAGAGGTCAGTGTGTGAGTTGCATAAAGCTCCAGAAAAGCACCCGGCTCCTAGGAAGTGAGGCAGTGACGTTGCTCAGGGAAATTCACCAGAAACGTTTCCTCCGCGGCCAAGGCTGCTTTACCCTGCATGCAGCACACACTGCGCCCCCCTTCAGTGTTTTTGGGTTGGTAATCAGTGTGTCCATTACCATTTATGGGACGGGAGTTTCTGGGCAGTTGGCGACCAGCACTAAGCCAGAACTCAGGACTCTTGGCCTTGAGCTACTGAGACAGCTGCTCTCTTGGACCCCAGAGGGGCCTCATGAGGCAGCCCGTGGACCCTTCATCTCCTGCTCCTGACCGCCCCTCCCACTTCTCTCCTCAGCATCCTGGAATGCCAGGGCCTCCCCATCGTGAACGGGCAGTGTGACCCTTACGCCACTGTGACACTAGCAGGACCATACAGGCAAGTATCCGTCCCCAGCACCTGCTACAGCCTCTGGGCCTGACGGGCGGGGGGCAGTCACCTGGAATGGTGGCGAGGAATCCTCAGGCAGAGGAAGGCAGGGTACGCCGTGAGGGAGAATGGATAATTCTGACTTTCTTTTGTTTCCTTTATTTCCTTAAAATTGTCTGGTGCAAGAGAAATGCCTTTATGTTCTTCCTGAGGAGTATTTTTGGCTCAGTAAAGGTTCCTGATTTGCATGCCATCTGGGGTTGGAGACACACAGAAATATTTATAAGATAAATAAAGGCAGCAAATTACTTGTGCATTTGATAGCTCAGTCTTCAGGCTGAGAGATTTGGCATCAAAAGTGTTATTTTTAATCCTGGTCCTTCCTCCCTGGATTCCAGATCGGAAGCAAAGAAGACAAAAGTGAAAAAGAAGACCAACAACCCTCAGTTTGACGAAGTGTTTTATTTCGAGGTTGGTATTGGAGTGGCTTGAATGTGAAGTTGAAACCTTACACCCGAGATTCTTTGGCAAAATGTCCAGGTCTGAAGGGTCTCAGTCCCTCACTTCCCCTGAAAGGTCTGGGTGACTGCCCACACACAAAACAGTTCCCCTCCTGCCCTGCGGCTTCAGGGGGCATTTGCCTCTCCTCCCTCGAAAGAAAGGCCGTCTGTTGCTTCCAGAATGACTCAGTTTTGAGCTGAATACTGATTTGTACTTTACCAATTCGTACTTTCCAAATTATCAGGACTTTGTTTTTTTTTCACATTGTTTGTTTGGTTTGGGGTTTTTGTTCTTTGGCCTGTTTCACCCAGTCTTCCCTGAGCAGTAAAGGGAGGCTTGTTTTACCGGAAATAGTGAGGGTTTTGAAGCAAAGAGGAAGTACATTTGGACACAGATGCCCTGGCTGCCTCTCAGAGTGTGACCCACCAAAATTAGTGTGATGGAGAGTGTTGAGGGCTGAAGACCAGAATAGAACCACAGGTCAGCGCAGCTGGTTTAGTGATGGGACAGCCCACGTGGAATATATTTAGGTGTGTGTTCTGTCCGTCTGCAAAGGTTTCTTGAATGGTTAATATGCACCAGGTCATGAGTAGGTAAGGATGACTGAGGCTGTCGCTCCCGTCTGCTGGAGCCTGATGCCAGCAGAAGAGAACTTAGGTGAGTGGGTTGTGCCACTTGGGCTAGTGAGTGTTAAGTCAGTGGCTTTGGGGAACAGAAAGTGAATGCATCCAGCGGTTCTGCTTGTGAAGCGGGGCGAGGCTTCCTAGAGCTGTCACCTCTGAGCAGTCTGGGAAGGGGCGTGTGGGTTTGTGGAGCATTGGGAGGGTTCGGGAGACTGTCTAGAATGTGGAGTGAGGTTGGCGTGATAAACGAGAAATTTTGGAAAATGAACTTGGACAGAGCAGTTAGAACCAGGGGGGCTCATGGGCAGAGAACCTTGACCTTTTCCAGCTGGTATCTAGAAATTCATGTTTCTGAACCGGAGAAGGCCAGTAGCTGGCCTTGTTGGGGTGGCTGCGAGGAGGGGTGTGGAGATGGGACCCTGAGGATGTGGATGAAGAGCCCGTCTGTGTCCTGGATGCAAGCTCTGGCTTTATAGTCGGGTGAAGAAAATGGTTTTTAAGAGACTCAGGATAAGTCAAGAAGCCAATGCGGTTGCTCTGACTTCCAGCGGGACTCCTGTTGCACCTCCCCAGGCAGGATGAAGTCTGCAGCCAGCAGTGCGCAGTTTGTAATGTGAACAAACGCGCGTTAAAGGTGGCAGTGGCCTCCCCGTCTAGGCTGCCTAGAATGGCTCAGACCAGCGCCTCCCAGACTTTCGGTTTTGACACAACACACAGGCAGGCAGAGACTTCACGTGGTGACACGCTTCACTCTAACAGCGGCATCCACTTTTGCATGATTCCACTCCCATGAGGAGTGGTATAATGCTGCATCGTGTACTCTAAAGCTGTGGGTCTCGGTTCGCTACATTAACGTTAACGACCCCAAGATATGATTGAACGTAGTCAAGAGGACCAAAGCCTGCAGGCCCCAGGGAAGGTGGAGACCTGGGCCCTCAACGCAGCTGGTGAGGGCTGCTTGGATGTCAGTCTCGCTCGTAGCCTCGGGGTCTTTGGAATATGCTTTTGCTTGGAGCTTATGTCCCCTGAGTGAAAGGCCTCGCCCTGCTTAGCAGCACCCTCCCACTCATCGGATTCCTCCTCTCCTTTTAGCCTCACTGGCAAACAACATGAGGCTGGGCCCCTGGCAGGAGGACCCTGGGCCCTGGTGGCTGGCAGTGGGCTTGGGGCTGTCAGGCAGCCTCCTGCAGGAGTTTCAACAGGAGGTAGCCTCCAGGCCATTTTCTTCCAGAATAACAACCAGACTTACCCTAAAAACCCTTAAATACCTAAATGAAATTATTTAAAATTCTTAAGAGCCACCTTCATTCACTTAATAGATATGTTAGGTGATAGGTGGGAATAAGACAGAGGAGAATATAGACCAGCCTCTGCAGCCATCCCACTGGAAGCCAGACACCTTATCTTAGTACTGTGAGCCATGCCGGGGGGGGCTTCCTGGAGGAGGTACATTTCAGAGATACCTGTGGGCTTCCTAGCATGGGCCGCAATGAGGAATGGACTCAGTTGTGAGATGCACAGGGGTACAGGTTGTAGAAAGATCCTCATGTTTTGGGAGAGGAAGACGAGTGGGGGCCCCTGGTGGCCTTTAGAAGTTTTAACCAGAGGCAGATGAGGCAAGGCCAACTTGGCTGTGGCTGGTGGGAGCCCTGCTCGGGCAGTGCAAGGACAGGTTGCCAGCAATCCGGAGGCACAGGGAGTGGAGGTGGCCATCAGAGGAGGATGTTGGGGGGAGGGAGGAACTGGCCGGGTGCTTCTGGGTGCTGCGAGGATTATGAGGAAGTTAGTGGAAAGTGCCCTGGACAGCCCCACAGCACAGCTCCCAGGAAACTGGGCACCAGTGCAGCCTCTGCTCTGTCACGGTGAGTGGAGCAGTGTCCATGGTGAGGGGGTGCACAGCCTCCTCCCCTGAGCTGGTCAGCCCAGGGCAGGCACTGTGTCTAACTTGCTCTCCCCGCCTCTGCACCACCAGGTGACCAGACCCTGCAGCTACAGCCGCAAGTCCCACTTCGACTTTGAGGAGGAGGACGTGGACAAACTTGAAATCCGGTGAGCGAGAATCGGGGTTTCGGGATTCCTGCTTGGCAGCTGCAGTCTGAACGCCCCCCTCTGTTCATTTTCTTGTTTTGTTTCTAAAAACGGGAATGGATAGAAAGGAATTTTAATGCTTTTGGTGATTTTAACACGAGGATGTTGGAAGCTGAAGTCAGTCATAATCATCACAGATGTTCAGGCAGCTGTGGCTGAAAACCCAGTTTTCTAGTTCACTTTGCGATGTCTTCTCAGAGTCGAAGGTCAAAGGCTTTGTGCTGCCAGCATGTGCGAGCCTCTGTCTGCCAAGTGGCATTGCCCAGCCTAGCACACCGGTCCTCGCTGCTTAGGGATCCTTGTGACACAGGCTTTAGTGTGCAGCGTCTGAGCGTGTTGTCCTGGGAGACTGCAGCGTGAGTTCACCAGCATCACTTTTAGATCCACTCAGGGGCCTTCTTCCCATCTCCCCTGGCTGCAGGAAGCCCCGCCCCCTGTAGCACCTCCCGCAGGTATAAGGTGCTCTGGGAGAGACAAACCGTAGACCAGGTGCACCTTCCCGTAGTCCTGGGTCCGGGTGACCACACTGAGGTCTGATGAGCCCTGTTCAGGAGAAGTGTAGGAATGCTCCTGATTTGACATGGTCTAAATCTACTTTCTTTCAGGGCCAGGGTTTTCTGAGGCCTGTGAGGCTCGAAATACCACAGGTGTTCATTTAGGGGGTGCTCTGGTTTGTGCCCCTTCAAACCTGCAGTGGCTTTCCAGGCCTCTGAGCAATAACCAAGCCGTGGAGGGCCCCTAGGCCGGATAGGGGCTGACCTTTGAGGTACAGGGTACAAAGGCCAGGGCCCTTCTGTCTCCCAAGTGTGGGATCCTGGGGCTCTTTCCTTGTCCGTCTCCTGGGCTCAGGTCCAGAGGGATCGTGGCCTCCACCCACAGGTCTTGGTTTCAGCCCAGTTTTAAGCGTTTCCCAGTAGCTTAAATCTTCCCTTTCCAAACACTGAAGCTGAGGCGAAGTGACTCTGAGTTGAGAAGGTGCCCACGGGAGGTCCGGGGCCCTTGTTTGAGGCTTGGCTGCAACCACCTGCCGTCAGGCCTGCAGCTCCCCTTTTTTTGTTCAGGGAAAAGGTGTTTATGGAAGACTGGGCTTTGAATTTGAGCTAAGTCCTAGTTTTTCTTCTAAGCCTATAAACCAACGATGTTTTTAAATGCGTCTCTTATTAAAAGAAAAGACTGTCTGGTGATTCGTTTGTGTATAGCCAGGGTGTTGCTTGGCAGATTAGAGATCCTTCTGCTTGTCATTCTGGAGGAATCACGGCATGGACACTGTTCATCTTCATGTCGCGACGTGTGTGTGCTTCTGTGGAACAGCCTTCCCCTTCCGTGACGTCCCTTGTCCTGCTCGGACTTGCAGGGGTAACAGACGGACTAGTACAGTCCTAGAATTTTCCCCTGGTCTTAGATTTTCAGCTCATGGAATGACTGCTGCTTGAACTGTTCGCTGTGGGTGTAGGCAGTGTTTGCTGCTTAGTACCTGGGAACATCGTCCACCTTCGTCTGTCGCATAGGACAGTCGATATGTCCCCAAATCAGAGGAAACAGTAAGAATTCCACCCAAGGAAAAAGGATGAGTGACCAGACCCTCTAGCAAGGTGAGCGCAGGCTTTGCACGAAGGTGGTGGTCAGTTGTGCTGTGGCTGTGGCGGCCAGCTAGCCACCGTCTCCCTTTCTCCGTTGGGAGTGTCGGGCCTTAGGTCATGAGCCGCACTGATAGGGTCGTAGGGATGTTGGGTGTAGGGTTCTGAGTGCAGGTAGGGAAGGAAGGCTCAGAGGCAGTTTTTCTCCCCAGGTGCACTTTCATGGGGCAGAAGGTAGGGGGCGTCCTGGCTGTTAAATTGGGCAGCCCTGTCATTCCCCTGTGGGCACCATTCTGGGCAACAGCCTGAGCAGAAGTAGACTTCATTTATTCAGTCCACTGTGTTGAGCCTGCAGACTGCGGCACTCCTGCTGTGTCTGAGGCGTTGCCCAGCCCTGAGTGGACAGTAGGCCCTGCTACCCTGGGCCCTCTGCCAGGTAAAGGCAATGGACGCTGCTGGCTTTGGTGCACAGCACTTTGCTCTCGTTACAAAGACAGGAGGCCCCTCACCCGACACCAGGCCAAGGGCTCTGCCTCTACCTCCCCGCCTCCCCCACAGCCCGAGGAAGTGCACATCTCCATTCCAGAGTCAGTCCAGCTCTGACCTCAGGTTTGAAATGCCCCCGTCGGTGTAGATCTCTGTGGAGACTGACTTGTTGGAGCTGAAGGCTCCATCTTGCTCCACACCCTCTTGGGGAGAAAGAAAGAACAGCGGTGGCTGCTCTGTACCTCCCTAGGTCGTTCTGCAAGAAGACCCATGTACTGACTCTTGTTTTTCAGAGTTGATCTCTGGAATGCCAGCAACTTGAAGTTTGGAGATGAGTTTCTGGGAGAACTCAGGATTCCGCTGAAAGTGCTGCGGCAGTCCAGCTCCTATGAAGCCTGGTGAGCTGACCGCGTGCCTGGCCTGGCGTCGGTGAGCTGGTGGGTGGAGGGACAGAGGTAAAAGGACGAGTCAAAATGACACAAAGCTGCCTCTTTACAGCCCAAATGCAAGGGCACAGGTCAGCTTCCTACCTAGCCTCCCACCCTTGTTTTGCTATGGTCCTTACTGGCTCTGGTGTGGTGACGGATTCAGGTGAGAAAGGGTGGGTGGGAGAGCACCAGTGCAGGTGATCGCGCTGATGTCATAAGCAGTGGCTGGGAGCCTAAGACAGAGAAGGGCAGCGGCACGGAAGCCGGACAACCTGGGCCCACTTACTGAGGGCAGGTGGCTGGCACACCTTGGAGCGTCGCTGTCCCAGGCCCTGCCCTGCGGCAGGCAGGCAGGAAGGACCCTTGCCTGCCCTCAGAAGTGTCCCTGATGAGGAAGGTGTGCAAGGTGCTGCGAGCTCTGGGCAAATCTCCACTTTAATCTGCATGTCTAAAGTGAGGGGCCACAGCTATGCCTCACCCCTCACTCACGTGTCCCAGAAGACTAAGCTTTCACTTCCAGTGTCTATTTTCTCATTTTCTTGAGGCTATTTTGTATTTAGACCTAAGGAATGGCCCTTGTTTTATTTCATGTTCGGTTCATAAATCACATTGGTTCACGGTGCATGTCAGCACAGGGAAGCTGCAGACACTGGCCACCGGTGTTCTATTTCATGCATCTCCCTTAGCAGATGCACAAGATGGGGGCCAGGTGTGGGTCACACCACGCGGCATGCTGTATGCCACACATCTCCCACCACGTGCCTCACGTCACACCACATGCCACACACCACACCCCGTGGCCTTGCATGTCTACAGGCTCACCAGGGGGGTGGGTGCTTGTGTTGTGCCCAGTGGTGGCTTCTTATCACCAGGAGACAGTGAAATTCACGTCTTTAATTCCATGAGCACAGCGTAGCCCCCAGCTGGGTTCTGCTTCCTGCCGGGAGGCATTGCTTAGCTGGGCAGCCCTTGGCCTTGTAACTGAGGAGGAGGCATTCTCCCAGCAGCCCCGTGGCAGCTCTCCTCACATCGCATCTCTAAGTGCCTGGCCAGGAAACTCAGAGCAGGCAGGGTCTGCTGCTCTGAGGGCAGCACGGGGCAGGACCGGAGAGCGACCTGTCGGAAGACACCACTGCAGTGACTGCCTGTGTGCACAGTGGTCTGCCTTGCCCCGCAGCACGAGCTCCCATCCCCTCTAATTTTGACAGTTCAATTACATGTTTCTTAGAATACTTTCAGTTTGCTCTGCTGATTGGTAGCCGTTGTCGTGTTAACCTCCACGGGTAATATGTTACTGCAGAATTTCCCTTAACTGCTGCACTCATTTTCCCACCTTCTCATCCTCTCCTTTTCTTCCACCCTTCCCACTTTCCCGTCATCAGTTCTGTCCGAGGCTCTGTGGAATCAGCCCCGACAGTAAACATCGCCTGGGGAGCATCTGGGTACATGGGCCCTGCGGGGGTGTGTCCTGCAGAATCTCCCCAGAGTTCCTTCCTCTCTCAGACCCTGACACAGAGCCCTGGATGGGAGGATCATGCCCCCTTGTCCTGTGTCCTGCGCCCAGGTACTTTCTACAGCCCCGAGACAATGGCAGTAAGAGTCTGAAGCCAGGGGACCTGGGATCCCTGCGGTTGAATGTAGTTTACACAGAAGACCACGTCTTCTCCTCCGACTACTACAGCCCGCTTCGGGACCTTCTGCTGAAGTCTGCTGATGTTGAGGTACTCTTGTCCCGAGCACACCTGTGAACCAACACCTACCCCTGTCTCCTGTCACCTACTGGGTCCCTGCCTGGCCCTCCTTTACCCAGATCCACTCCCTCTCTGGACCCTCACCCTGCTCCCTGCCCACGACACCTGCCCAGATCAGCACCCAAATCACCTTGTACCCCCGAGACCCCCTGGCCGTCCCTTAACCCCTGTCCAAGCCCCAACCACCTGGGGCCCAGCACCTGGGCTCCCTCTCCCTGTTGGTGACTTCCCCTGCAGCCTGGCCCCCCTAGGCCTCTGTTGGGCCCAGGAACATCTGCATCTCCCTTTGCTGGGTGAGGAGGGGTCATGGGGTGGCTCTGGATGTGGCCCTCGGGTCATGCTGTGTCTCTGTGCAGCCTGTCTCAGCGTCCGCGGCCCACATCCTGGGTGAAGTGTGCAGAGAAAAGCAGGAGGCAGCCATCCCGCTGGTGCGACTCTTCCTGCACTGCGGCCGGGTGGTGCCCTTCATCAGTGCCATCGCCAATGCCGAGGTCTGCAGGACACAGTGAGTGCCACTGCCACCTCCGCCCAGGGCCCCCCACGTTGCCCCAAAGGGTGCGGCCTGGGGCACCCAGACAGCGGAGGTCTCCCTCGGAACAGGCCAGAGCACACAGGTGGGGCAGCTGAGGGGAACCACGTAGGCTCAGGCTTTCTTTCAGGGAGACACTATTTTTAAGTTGCACCTTTTCTCCTGGAAACCCCAAGGCCTAGCACGCTGGTCCTTGCCACTGAGGGATCCTTGTAGCTCAGGCTTTAGTGTTCAGAGTTAGAGCTTGTCACTCTAGAAGCTCGAAGCGTGAGTTCACCAGCATCAGTTTTAGATCGACTCAGGGGCCGCCTTCCCATCTCCTGTGGGAGAAAGGGGGTGAATGAGGCACCAGTTGCCTTAGTGTTAAACCCACAGAAGGGGACTGGGTTGCTTTGTCCCCCCAGTCCCCAGGGCCAGCCAGGAGTTACTCCCTGGGTTCCTTAGTTCAGAAGTATCCAGACACACCCTTACTGAGAGAGGTTATAAGCAGCATAACCTGTTATAAGAAGTTCACTTCCCTGCCAGATCTCCCGTGCTGACCCCAGGTTGGGTCCTTAGGAGTGTTTGTTTGTAAAAACCAAGCCTCGAGAAGAGGAGGCATTGTGAGCTCCTGCTCCTTTGGATGGGTTAACGGCAGGGGGCGTGCCTCTGGGTTGCCAAGTTGTGCTGGCCGCTCTTTGTGAGCTGGGCTCGGGGCACAGGCAGGGCTGCAGCTCAGGAGCCCCTGCCGTGAGGCCTTTGGTCGGTCTCGGTCTCGGTCTCCTGCTCCTCCTCAAACAGCTGACGGCACTCGGCACTCGGGGCGAGCGTGCTTCTGCACCCACTGGGCTGCCCTCAAGCGTAGGTTCTGCTGCTGTCTGCACCTGGCTGTGCCGAGGAGACAAAGGGCACCCCAATGCTGTTTTCCAGGGACCCCAACACCATTTTCCGAGGAAACTCGTTGACATCCAAGTGCATTGACGAGACGATGAAGCTGGCCGGGATGCACTATCTGCACGTCACCCTGAAGCCCACCATAGAGGAGGTGGGTCGGGTCCCCACGGGCCCAGGGTCCCCGGGCTGTGTGTGGAAGGTTCCCCCAGGAGCCCACTTCTCCACGGGAGAGTCAGGCAGGCACACAGGGAATGCGGGGCATTGGGGTTCTCTGGAGCGAGGGGCCTTCCAGGTGCAGTTCAGAATCTCCTTCCTTCCCTCAAGTTAAACAAACACTCAAGGAAATCTGTTACTGTAAAGACAAGGCCATACATGACACTGCTTCCCCACAGGCGTTGGCTGTCCCCAAACTCGTGAAGCCGCTGCAGCTGTGGGGCCCTCCCCTTCTCACTGCGGTCAGACACGGTCCAAGGAGCCGCACGCTTCCTTTCCAAATGACTCAGCTTTTCTTACCTGGCCCCTGCATGGGGCACCTGGGCAGGCGTTGCCCCCAGAACAGTTTCATTAAAAACAGGCCCTTTGCCATGCGAGAGAATCTAAATTAGCATTCTGGTTTGGCTGTGCACGATCCTGGCTGCACTTTGAAGTAAAATCATTGTTAGCCTTCATGATACCTGATCCCATGTGAGGTAATGGTCTTCAAGAAAGTCCTGTGCCTCCCAAGACTGTGACCTCGAGTGCTGCCTGGTGTCTTCAGCCCCTGTTCCCCTCCACGTGGCCAAGCAGGGAGCTAGCTGTGGGCAGCTATGTTTTGAGCAAGGCTGACAGTGTCTGTCCCCGAGCCTGCCACCACTGACCACCACCCCACTTGTGGTCCTGCAGTCTGCCTCACTCCTCCTCGTAATGCTCTTTCCAGATATGCCAGAGCCACAAACCCTGTGAAATCGACCCCGTGAAGTTAAAAGATGGAGAAAACCTTGAAAACAACATGGTAAGGGGTTCGGGTTTAATTGCCGGCACTTCCCAGAGCAGTCACCTGTCTTGAGGATCTTTGGCACGTGGCCACTGTGTCAGGGTGGTGTGGGCAGGCGGTGCGAGGGCACCAGCAGGAACCTGAGGTGCAGGAGGTGACTTTAACCTGGTGTCAAGTGACCGGTCCCGGTCAACGATTGGCGGTCATCTCCCATGCCCTGCCCCAAGCCTGCCCCGCACATCGAGACAGCCTCACCAGCTTCCAGGGTCTTCCCAGCCCATCTTTTCCCTTCTCTCAATAAACAGGGCCCACACCTGGCAACCCCAGGCTATTCCCAGAGCTGTTTCTTGGAACAGAAAAAAACCCTAATTTTGACACTTTACCCAAATGTTGTCTTTTTTATGATTTTTCCATCCAGATCATGCTATGTCTTTGTCATGCCTTAAAACATGCGCGCGCGCGCGCGCACACACACACACACACACACACACACACACACACACACAGAGGCGGGGTTCCAGCCTTCGGGAACTTCCATTTCAGTGAGTTTGTCCTCTGTCTAGCTAATGAAGTTGGGCACAGAGGAGGGGAACATGATGTGGCTTTTCCCCACACCCCAGAACTCCAATTATTGGCACCACACAAATTGCTGTAACCACTCAGTGTGTGTTTTAGAGGGGTGGTTTTTTAATTGTGATGGGAAGTACCGGTTTTGCTGCCACGGCTCCCCTTGGCTGCCCCGAGCTGGTCCCTGGTCTTGGACGAGCTTCCTCCCTGGTGTGGTCTTGGGGAGGGAGTCGGGCCCAGACAAGCACTGTTGGGGTGCCCCGCCCACACCTCGTTGCAGGAGAACCTGCGGCAGTACGTCGACCGCATCTTCAACGTCATCACTAAGTCGGGGGTCAGCTGCCCGACTGTCATGTGCGACATTTTCTTTTCCCTTCGAGAGGCAGCTGCCAAGCGCTTCCAGGGTGAGTCCTCTGTGGACAGGCTTGTGCCAGCAGAAAGCACCGACAGGCCCTGGCCGGGGCTCCCTCCCTCTGTGCTGCACACTTCCCAGCCCCGGAAAGTAGGTTCTGGTGGCGCTGTCCAGCCAGGGCTCGATGTCAGCACGGTGCCTGGGCAGCAGCCCCCCAACCTGTGCCCTGCTGGGCTGTACTCTTAGTCCCTGCCCGCACTTGTCCCGGGCTGAGCCGGTCCGGGCCAGACAGAAAGCGACTGGCCGGGTTTTGTCGAAGCAGATTATTTGGGACAGAGTGTTAACCCATCTGCAGTTAGAGAAGCCACCCTTGCAGGTGGTCTGGGCAGTTTCTCACCGTGCCCGCCACGGCCCGCTGGGTGCGCTGTGTGCTCCGACTCTGCCCAGCTGCATTTAAAGAAAGATAGGATGAGCCCTTTGGGGAATTTGCACTGCAAGGGTCCCGGCCATGAGCACCCTCTTTTTAGTTATGCGGATTCCTTGGGCTGCACCTGGAGCTACCATGACAAAACAAAGGCATCCAGCCCCCGCGGGTGGCGTCAGGTTAACTGAGGCCCTGGAAGCCCAGGACTCGCCAGCTCAGACCAGGTCCTAGGAGGCTAAGAAAGGGGCCACTTGGTCCCTGGCCCCTGCCCCGTCCAGCAGGCACTGTCCCTACCCCACTTTGTCCATCCCTGGGAGCTCATGAGTCAGCCCACGTGTGACCTGCTGCCTTGGAGAACCGCTGAAACTTCAGCCTGGGAGCCCCCAGGGCGGTCCCTGTCCCCGAGGGGGGCCCAGCCCCTTCCTTCACCTGCCGAGCAGCTCAGCCTCCTCCGGCAGCGGAGCTGGGCCAGGACCTCTGGCTTTCAGGGAGCTGGGGTTCCTTCTAGGACCGAAAAGCATCTGTAGAGTTTGGGGTGGGCAGTACTAAGCACACTAAGCCTCGGAGCCCTTTTAGAATAAGACAGAAGTAAATAAATAATAAACGATCCATATCCTCCCATCTCAGGTGTGAGTAAGCCACCCAGCAGTGAGCCTTATCCCTCCGTGCAAGGCCACTAGGGCCTGGTGAGCAGGTCGTGCCTGTTAGAGCCCAGCTGGCGGACAGTGTTGAGCTTTTAGTAACAGTGAGCAGGGGACAGAGAGGGAGAGAGGCAGTGGGGTCACGGAGAGAACTGCGGGCCAGCCCCATGCCCCCAGGAGACCCTCGGGAGCGGCAGAGGCTTTGGGTCGCAGCCCCTTGCTCGGTCCTCTGCCGTCTGCAGAGAGTCCTGCTGAGTTGGCTCTCCCTGTGTCCTGGCTACAGATGACCTGGATGTGAGGTACACGGCTGTGAGCAGCTTCATTTTCCTGAGGTTCTTCGCTCCTGCCATCCTGTCCCCCAACCTCTTCCAGCTCACACCCCACCACACAGTAAGTGAGCGTTAGCCCTTGCAAACTGGGAAACCGGTCTTCCTGCTCTGGCAGGTGATGCTGGGCTCGGGCCATGCTCTCCTCTCCGGGTGCGTGGAGTGGCAGAGACAGCCATGCCTGGTAACCGGGTTGTGAGCAGGTCGTGCTCCTGAGTTGTGTCTGTTAAAACATGGATGGTGGGACCAGGTCTTAACTGCTGGCTACTCTTATGTTCTCCTTCCCGCCATGGGAAGAACTAAGTATCTATAACCTTGTGTGTATTCAGTCATTTATTCAGCCAGTCAACAAATGTTTGTGGAACACTCACCGTGGGCCAGGCTCTGAACGTTCACTGAGCTGGCATTAGTGACACAGGAGGAAGGAGAGGGCCAGGCAGGGACAGTACAGGGCGGAGACCCTGAGCAAGGGGGTTTGAGGGTGACGGGCCCATTCCTGGTTTCGTTGGTTTAAAATTAAACTCCCAAACCAGGTGATGGGAAGACAGGTGACCTGGGAGAGGCAGAACTGGGGACGGCAACGGGACAGGGATGCTCCTTGTTTAAGACGCTCCTTTTGCACATTGGGTCCCGAGTGCTGGTTTCTAGCAGCTCTTTCCCACGTTGCCATTTGGGGAGCCATCCAGCACTTCGTGGAAATACTGGGCTCTGGGGTGGCTGGAGATCCTGCATTTTTAGCAGCTCTCAGGCTGCACAGAGTAGAAGGGTCTACGTGAACTCTTCCGAACCCAGTATTGTTTGCGTGTTTGTGATTCGCTGACAGACAACACGTGTGTGCAATGCAGCTTTCAGGTGGTGTCATTCATTTTGTTGGCGGTTGTAGTTCTGGGCTCGATCACAACATTTCGTGAAAATGAGATGAAACTTGCACTTCTTTCCTGTCTGACAGGACCCGCAGACTTCTAGGACGCTGACACTCATCTCGAAGACTATTCAAACTCTGGGCAGCTTGTCCAAGTCCAAGTCCGTAAGTCACTTACCTTAACCCTCTTGTTTGTAACAGGAGAGAAAGAGTGTGTGGTCGGTGTGATTGCAAAGATAAAGAAAGTAGAACCAGCCTGGCTCCCCCACCAACCAGCTTAGAAGGTAGAACATTCCAGCACTGGCCAAGGACCTCTTTACACTGCAGAGCCGTTAAACTTAGGTTTTTGAGGAGAAATTAGGATGGTGTGCGTACGTTGTTGTCACCGTAGGACAGATAGCATGTCCACTCCTGCGTCTGGATTCAGAGACCGAGTCCCCACAGCACAGCCGCTGCAGCCCCACCTCAGTAAGCTGGCCATGGCCTTGGCCTTGAGGATCTGAGGACATTTTTGTCTTGGGAAGGTCCAGGCGTTGCCTGGTGCCCAGATGGCCCATCCACACGCAGCAAGTGTGAGCCAGCAGCACGCCCCTTTCCATCCCTGGGCTTCATGCTCATTTTACCCCTTTTGGTGACAAATCTGTGTCTCCCTTCATTGTTGCTCACTTCAGACTGGATTTGGGTGCTGAGGGCATCCCAAGGGTCAACCCCAGGCTCCATGGCCCCTGTGAGCCTGTGAGAAGCAGTTTTGAGGCTGCTGGAGCTCCCTAGGGATGGGATCGAAGGCTGGTCCCAACCTCGGCCCAGCTGGCCCAGCTGCAGGGCAGCCTGCCCTTCTGTCTGGAAAGGCTTGAGCCGCGACCCACAGCAGCCACACCAGCCCACCTCGCTGTGTTCTTTGGGGCCATGAGTGAACCAGGGCCCCATCACTACAGGCAAGCAGCTGCCCTGTGGAGCCAGTGCTTGGCTTTCTGAGTCAGAGTAAAGTAAAAAGTGTGTGGTGGCTCACGGGCAGCCTAACATGCACTGAGTGCTTCCTTCTGTCAATTGACCCCAGTTTTTGTTGGACAGAAATTCACATAAATAGGCACCTGCTGGGTCAGGGGTCTGCACAGAACCTGCCTCATTTTCACATCCAGAAATAGCAAAGTGACCTAAATATGGAAACAGGGCACAGTGGGGTGGGGCCTCTGGAGTGGTCGTTGGAAGGCCCCTCTGCATTCCTGCACTTTGCCCCAATCCTCGTCCATACTCCTCAGCTCATAGATGAGGCTCCACCAGAGTGACCATGTCCGGGTGCAGTGTAAACTGTGTACCTAGAACCCAGATGTTAGACACCCCCCCAAAACAGTTCGCTTTCGCAAGCACCACGTCAGTGGAGTGGCCTCCTGTGCACATTTCAGCCTGACGCTGTCTGCTGTACCGGCTGAACTTCCGGGGCAGCCTGTGTCCCCGGTGATTCCCAGCACCTTCCCTGGCTTAGCCACGGTAACTGAGGCTTGTCACAGCCTGTGCCTGTGGAGTTTTCAGGTTTGGGACACGAGCCAAGAGGCCTGTGGGCCTTTGTTAAGAGAGCTGTTTCATTTTAGGCCAGCTTTAAGGAATCCTACATGGCTGCATTTTATGAGTTCTTCAATGAGCAGAAATATGCAGACGCAGTAAAAAACGTGAGTACCGACATCAGACATGGACTTAGTGCCCTCTCCCAGTGTATGTTGTTTTTGAGAAACAGAGTTGCTTTTTTTTAAAACGTTGAGTTTAAATTTGAATCACATAAAATTGACCATTCGCCATTTGACATAGTTGAGACTGTTCAGTTCCGAGTGCAGTCGGGCTACGGCCCCGCCCCTCCAGGCGCCAGGACGCCCCGCCCCCTCCAGGCGCCAGGACGCCCCGCCCCCTCAGGCTGCTGCGGCCTCCTCCTACACTGCTCTTCTTTGGAATCTGACTGGGGGATCCTCACCATTTTCATGTCTGCGTTTTCTCTGAGTGACTGAGCATCACAGCTTCATGAACTGTCTCCTCCTTTTCTTCCACAAACTCCCCTGTCCTGCCAGTCCCAGCCGCCTGTTCCTGGTGCCTCAGTCACGGAGCCCTAGGACCCCAGACCCAGACTTACGGGAGTGTGCTCGGGGAGGAACTGTTCTGATACTAATGCTTTTTTTCTTCTACTTAGAAGCCATCATGCTTATTGCTCAGAAATCATAAAAACCATGACCTAGAGGGGAAGGACGGGAGAGGAGCTGGGGGCAGCCACCCGTTGGTGGGAGGAATCCAGACAGGCCATGGGACAGTTGAATTGAGTGGGGAGCCCCCCTGCTGCCCCCCCACAGCAAAACCACAGGGAGGGCTCTTGGGAGATGAGGGGGCCCAGGGAGGGGAGCCTGCACTGCTTCACATTCCATGGGAGATGCAGTCTCGGTCCACCTGTTAGACTGCGGGACCGCCAGGTGTTACCTGAAGCCTGGCAGCTTTTCGGGCCAAGTAACAGCTGGGGGTGCAGTGGGGCTTTCCCTGGAGGAACCAGCGGATGTCGGGGTTGGGGCCAGAGGCTTCTTGGCCACAGTGGAGACAAGCACACAGTCCCCTTGATTCTCAGAGAGGAGCCCACTGCCCTGGAGCTTGCGTCCTAGATTCTTCTCTTTCTTCTGGTGTCGGACAGGGACGCGAAGCATCCTGTAGCTCTTACAAGTGAGAGCGAGGGTATTCAAGGCTGCCATGTCCCCTTTTAATAATCCGGTTTCTTTCCCACTTCAGTTCTTAGATTTGATCTCGTCCTCTGGGAGAAGAGACCCTAAGAGTGTGGAGCAGCCCATCCTGCTTAAGGAGGGGTAAGGCTCGCTAGCGCTGCTGGGCAGGCTGGAGGAAGTGCAGGTGGCGGGGCGCTCCCAGGTTGTCTCGGCCGTGAACTGGGGCGCCTGTGCCCTCGGGGCTGGCGGTCTCCCAGGTCACAGGCAGCCCAGACCCTTTCGGGCCGTTGAGGCCCAGGAGAAGCATGGCCTTCGTCCACCATTCTTCAACTCCCCAAGACTGCACCCAGGGGATGTCGAAATGGGGCGTTTAGGTTCATTTCTCTGTGCGTATTCTCTGCTGAATTTGTGGTGTCACTGGGAGAAAAGGGGGGTGAGAGACCAAATGACCCTGAAGAGTCACGTGTTCACGCACAGTTGGCTCAGTCACGCCTGAGTTCAAGGCCCTGCCTTCCCCCCCATCAGCCCATCCCTCCTGAAGTGTCTGTCGGGGGACCCTAAAGCACAGCACCTGCCAGAGGGCCGGTGCTCCACGTCGATGGCCTTGGCGTTGCAGGACACGCCTGCGTGGCTCTGAGCCCGCTGCCAGCGCCTTCTCTTTACGAGCATCTCGTCAGCATTTTCAGTGAGAAGGGGCGTGAGAAGAGGGCGGCTGCTGCTTGGAGGTCTAATAAGCCCTCCACCTTCACCACTTTGTTATTTAAAGTTAACACCAGTGTGGGGGCTAAACTTCCCTAAAGCAGAGACAGAGGCCTTTGAATCGTCCCATCCTGTCACTCGGAAATAAAAGTAGAAGGTGCAGAAAACCCACGGTCTGAATTGTGTACCGTAGACACGAAAGTGGCGAGTTGCTTGACTTTGGGTGCAGGACGATGGGGGGGGGCGGCTGGCGGAGCCCGCCCGAACCGTGGGATGTTCACCCCCCAACGTGTGCTGCTCGCCACAGGTTCATGATTAAGAGGGCCCAGGGCCGAAAACGCTTCGGGATGAAGAATTTTAAGAAAAGGTGGTTTCGCCTGACAAATCATGAATTTACCTACCAGAAAAGCAAAGGTAACAAGAAAAATGGGCTTTTCTCCTTCTTTTCACTTAACTTGACTCCGAGGGACCCGAGTCTTGTTGAAGCCCCAGGTGTGGTTACCGTCCGTTCCTCTGGGATGAAATGAAGAGCAGAGGAGGCGTGTTCCTCGGACTGCGCAGTTTCTTTAAACAGGAGAGCGGGAGACAGACGCCCCCAGGTGGCCCAGAGGGGAGTGAGGCGGGTGCAGGCAGGTCCCACACCTCCAGGTGGGGGAAGCAGGGTCTCAGAGGGCCGTGAGGGTCTCATCCTCCTTTGGTTGTGCTCTCCTGGGTCAGAGGTGGCTCAGGTTTAGATCATGGAATGGTGAGAAAGTAGTTTCTCCCCACGAAAATGTGGGGCCATGGTCCCTGTGTGACAAGAGGCTTTGGTGTCATGATGGTACAGGTGTTGGGTGTTGGGAGCAAGTGCAGGGGGCTCAGTCGTTCTGTGGATCCAGCCCTTCCTGGACCGCGGCCCCTCGGCCCCCCGGCCCCCCGGCCCCCTTAAGCCCATGGTCTGTCAGTTTCTCACGGAAGAAGGGAGACTAATGCTGCCTCTTAACCCCGCACGGACCTCTGGGCCCGCTCACTCATTAGCCCCTGTCGCCACAGGAGACCAGCCTCTCTACAGCATTCCCATTGAGAACATTCTGGCCGTGGAGAGACTGGAGGAGGAGTCCTTCAAGATGAAGAATGTGAGTGTACCCTCTCAGCCTCTTCCGGGGCTGGCTCTCTCTTCTCCTTCCACCTTCTCTCTGCCCCCTGTTTCTTCTTTCGGGGGCCCCACCTTGCCTGGTCTTCACGAGACTGCTGCTGAGCCTTGGAGCAAAGCAGCCTGGCTCCCCTGCCCGGGCGGCCAGGGCAGGCAAAACCTGCAGGAAGATGGCTTCCCTGGTGGCTTCGTGACCGAACGCAGGTCCTGCTGCCTGCTGCTACAAAAGCCAATACTCGAGGCGGGAGCTGATGGAAGGGAAAGTGATTTATTTGCAGATGCTGGCCACCTGGAAGATGGGGGACTCACGTCACAAAGCCCATCGCCCCCTCTCAGTGAGGCAGATGTGTTTATGGGGAGGGAGAGGGGAACGGAACAAAGAGACCGAGGGAGGGGGGGTGCAAAGTTCTCTACGTGCAGACGAGCACGGTCCATGCTGATAAGGCAGGTGATGGTCCGTGTACATCATCCTGGTTAGTCATCCTCACTTCATGTCGTCATCCTGGTTTTACATCACCCTGGCTCCAAGGTTGAAGGTCGGCAAATCTCCCAGAGCTGGGATGCCTGAAGGTCGGGTTCTGTATCTTCTGACTTAGTTCCTGGGATTCTTATACAAACATGCTGCTCATCTACATGCTAAGAATGGTGGGCGTGGGAGTGGGGTTAAAACGCCCCACTGTTACAGCCCCAGGGGTCCAGAGACGCTCTGTTAAAGGACACAGGGACAGTCTCTGGGGCCATGTAGGGTTTTTTTGAAATTTCTATTTCGATTTGGTTTTGAACTTACAGAAAAATGATAAGACTAGAACGAGGACCTGCTGTGTCCCCTAACCCAGTGCCCTGTTTGCTGAGCACATTCCTTCATTCTCCCCCCTTATTGCTCTCCGTGTGTGATGCACACATGTCTTTCCTGGACCATAGAAATACTTCAGTGTTTCCTCAAAACAAGGGTGTTTATAGAATCTTTCAGTGTCACTACGGTCGGGAGGCCCAGCACCGACGCAGCGGCACCGCTAATCCGCAGTCCATGGTCGTTTTGCCAGTTATTCCAGTGACACTCTTCACACTGTCGGCTTTTTCCCTGCTGGCGTGCAGTCTCGGGCCACGTGGTCTGTTACTGTGCAGTCATCTGCTTATTCCGGAACATTCCTCAGTCTTTACCCCCGTTTTGTGGCGGTGGCATTTTTGAGGCACACAGGCCATTTCTGTGGAAGTCCCTCAGTTTGGGTGTGTCAGGCAGTCTGCTGGGTGTGTTCGGGTCACGCGTCCCTTCGGGAGTCGCAGAGGCACTCTGGGCGGCCTGGCGTGCCCCATCAGGGGGCCTTGTCGCATAGTTGGTCGGTGGCTCCTGGGGGCTGCACTGAGCTGCGTCCTGTCCTGGTCCCAGATTCTTCCCCATCTGCGATGGCTTTCAGGCTCGGTCATCCCCTCGCTGTCCTTTGTTGGCTTTCTCCAGTGCACAGCTCTTCCTTCTCCCTCTGGGGAAGGCGGGTTCGTTTATTTGTTAGCACTGTAAGGACTCCCACGGCCCCACTTTATCCAGGGCTGGAGTCTCGTTGCTCTGGGAGGGCGGCCCGTCTCCTCCCGGCAGCCCGGCCCGTCTCCTCCCGGCAGCCCGGCCCGTCACACGCTGCTCTGTGGCCACAGCGGCGTTTCCTCCCCCAACAGGCTCCGCCGCAGATGCCAGGTTCTGGGTTTACAGAACAGGACCTCAGGGCAGGCTCTGCTCCTCGGAAGGGGACGGGGATCCGTCCCATTCTCTTCCCTTTCCTCTCGTGTCCATCTGCCTCTCACGTGTTGGTGCAACTCAGTGGTCCAGTGTTCAGTGGGTACCCGAGGCCACAGTGGGTCTCTGGGGGACGCAGTGAATCTGTTTTGGCTGGGCCAGGGCTGAAGGGTCACAAGGTGCTTACATCTCTGTGTGGGTCTGAGATCAGCTCCCCGGCCTGCTGGACAGGGGGAGGAGGCGGCTGCACCCTGGGCGTTCAGCCAATGGAAGCAGCTCCTGCTTGCCCTGCCCTGTTTTCTCAGCTTGATTCCTTGTCCTTTCCCAGGACTATTTGAGGCCCTTTCTTAGGTGAGCAGGTGTGGGCTGTTTTTCAGACCTGAGAGATGTTCACACCATCATACCTGCTCCAGGAGCTGGAAGGCCTGCCTTGTTTGCAAGCGGCTTCCTATAGCATGTCTGTGCCCCACCCTCTGCAGGATGGGGGTGGGGGTGGGGTCTGGGAACGCTGAGCCCTCAGCTGGCCGCATTCTCAGACGTCCACGGAAGGGTGCAAGTGTGGAAACTGTCCTGGCAGCATCTGTGAGCTGTTTCGGTCCGGCAGGCCCTGAATTTAGGTTTAGAATAATTCCCTAATTTTAGCCTTGTTTGTTCATCAGCCTGTTTTCTCCTGTTGCCTTCCTCAGACCCAGCTTCCCTGTGGTGCTAACCACCAGGTTAATGCCCTTTCCATTTGAGAGGCATTTTTGAAGTTTCACTGTATTCCGAGCCCTGTTGCAGGGCCCAGACTGCCTGAACAATCAGGGCAAAATACCTCCTGCTCCCAGCTCTGCTCCCCAGGGCCCCGGAGCCCCACACCGGTCCGTGCAGTGTGAGGCCTGTGCGGTGGTGCGTGTGTGACTCACAGCTGCTCTCCCCCGAGCCCGTCACTCCCATGTCTTCCTCCTCTCGGTGCACACCCCAACTCCTTGGGAAAGGCCACTGTCATCTTTGTTTGCCCTCTTGACTCCTGGCTTCCCTCATGCCTCTGACAAGCCTTTTGAGAGTCTCCCAGCTCTGCCTGTCTACCTTTCCTGTTTACCCCCCCACCCCACTTCTGTGTGCAGCTGGCCTGCCCCTGCTGGGAGCACCCGGCCCTGCCAGACGCTCTAGGACCTTGGCACCTACTGTCCCTGCTGCCCAGGGCATGTTCTATCCCTGCTTTTCCCGCTCAGCTTGATTAACTGCACCGTCCTCCAATCTCAGCTGCAGGACTGTCTGTTCAGAGCTTCTGCACCGACCTGCCCGCCCCAGATCAGGCCTCACCCTTACTCAGCCCCTGCACTCCGTGTGTGCTTTGTCTTGCTGGCTGGAAGCTCACGAGGGGCAGAAACTGCCCAGAGTGTGTCCCCAGGACCTAGGACAGTATCTGGTGCTCAGGAATGTTTGTTGAATGGACAATAAATAGGAAAGACAGAGGCAGCTCTGAGAAGCCTGGTGGAGGACGTGACACCTTCCTGGAAGGAGGAAGAGTCCCCAGGTGGTCAGTGGGGGAGAGAGAGGCCTCTCGGATGGAGGCGCCGTGTGCCAGGGCCTCGAGACAGATCTGGGGATGAGGACAGGAAGTCAGGCAAGATGAGCTCTGACGTACTTTCCACAGAAGCCCACCCAGCTTAAAAATACAGGCACCCAAAGGAACCAGCCCTTTTGCATAATAGCCACAGTCAGCTTCAGGAGGTCCCACGGGCGAGACAGGCAATGCTGCTCTTTTGCTTTTCGAACAAAGACCCCTGATGCCCCGGAAGGGAAGACCTCGGCCATGCTGGCCGTGGGTGACCAGCTGAGTCACACTGGCCTTCTTAGTTCCCCATGGCTCCGGTTGCTCCTGTGTGTTGCAGAGGGAGGCTTTGGCTTCTGTTTTCAAGTTCAGGGGCAGCAGGAAGCCCTTTGCACTCCCTGCAGCCACGGGTCGTCTGGGCTTCAGGGTCAGTTTCAGACCCTTTGCTGTAGTCTTTGGGCTGGTAGGCGTTGAAAATAACAACCCCTGTGGTTCGGGCAGAAGACAATGACACCTGTGGCTCTTGCTGAGCGGTCCCCTGAGCCCATGCTCTGTGTCCTCAGATGTTCCAGGTCATCCAGCCTGAGCGAGCGCTGTATATCCAGGCCAACAACTGCGTGGAGGCCAAGGCCTGGATCGACATCCTCACCAAAGTGAGCCAGTGCAACAAGAAGCGCCTCACGGTCTACCACCCCTCCGCCTACCTCAACGGCCACTGGCTGTGCTGCAGGGCCTCCTCGGACACGGCCCCCGGCTGCTCCCCCTGCACCGGGTAGGTCTGCGCCTTTCCAGACTCCTGGACCCTCCCAGCTGCCCAGTGCAGTTATCCGGCTTGTGCACCCTTTTGGTCAAGGGGTCAAACTGGGACTAAAATACAGTCCCCACCCACTCAGCAAACTGCACGTGTGCAGGCTGAGTCTCCAAGGCTGTTCTCTGAATGGTCCAGGAGCCTCCACCCGAGGGAGCCCCTGGACTCATCCTCATGTAGACTCTGTGCAGACTGGCAGGGGCTTTGAGCCTTTGTGGGTCCTCCTGTCCTTTCCGGGGGTCAGAGCCATCCTTGGGGAGTGGGTGGGCAATGAAGGAGGGGTGCCCAAGGAGAGAGAAGACCCCAGGGGCAGGTTTTACTGTCTTGTTTCTTCTAAGAAGAGACTGGTAGTATCCCATCCTCCTGATTATACCCCCTTGGGTTTCTCCAACTGTCACCCCTCCTTTTTGGGGGGTCCATTCCCTCGAACTCCTCCTGCAAACCGAGCAGCGCCTCTTGCCCAGCCCCACCGTTAGCTGGGCCTCCTGAAGGTCATTAGAGGCTCATCTCCACCATCCTGGAGGGAGGCCTAGTGGCTCAGGCTTGGCCAGTCCCTGTGTCCCATGTGACCTGTGCAAACGGCAGCATCTGCTGTGTGTCGTGGTTGTGGAGGTGACAGAACACCCGAAGCTCTCGGGAGGTGGGCATAGGAAACTCGGCTCCACAGACAGAGAAGCTGAGACTCGGGATAAGTCCCTGCCGGGTCCCACCCAGGAGCCTGTGATGGAGCCCCCGCCCCATCTCCGCAGAGAGGCTGGGTGCTGTGTCTGGGGGAAGGGCCGTGCTGTCCCCTCAGGAGAAGCAGGAGCCCACCACAGCCTCCGGAGAGAGAGGGGCCCGCTGGTCCTTCCTGAGGCAGCCAACTGACCCTTCCGGGCACAGGGCCCAGGTGCACCTGTCAGGGTTATTTTTATTCCCAGTCATTCCTTTTCACAGCAGAGTAAAAGTCTGCCTCGTTTGCTTGCTGCCCCGGCAGGTCTGTGGGTACTGAGAGGCCACCAGTCCTCCCAGACTTGACGGTCACTTCTCAGTACTTGTCATTATTTCACAAACCACACACAAGGGCCCCAGCCCATTCAGGGATATGCTCAGTGTTGAAGCACTGCACCTTCTCTAGTGATCTTTAAAAAATCAGTGTCAGGACTAACAGCATGTGCTTTTCCATTGTTCTCGCTGTGTCCGGGCAGCGGCCTCCCGGCGAACATCCAGCTGGACATCGACGGGGACCGAGAGACGGAGCGCATCTACTCCCTGTTCTGCCTGCACATGAGCAAACTGGAGAAGATGCAAGGTGAGGACAGGGTGCGGCCCGGCCTGTCACGCAGGTCGCAGGCGGCCTGGGGACACCCGGAAAGGGTCCCCGGGACACGGGGCTTTCTGCAGGGATGACTTGGGCAAGTGTAGGCACACCTCACCGCTCTGCGGTGAGTCCCGGAGACCGTGTTTCCACCAACACCCAGGGGACGCCCCACCAGCAACCCATCACCTGTCTCTGAGGGTGCTGGGATGGATAGCATTTTTTAATTAAAGTATGTACGTTGGGTTTCCCAGACACAGTGTTATTGCACAGTTGATAGACTACGTACCGAGTAAGGGTAACTTACATGCACTGGAAAACCGAAGGATGAGCGTGACTCGTTTCACTGCAATATTTGCTTTATTGGGGTGTTCCGGAACCAAACCCACATCGTCTTGGAGACGTGCCCGTGAACCCCTCTGAGCCTCCTGGTTCTACGTGCGGTGTCGTGTGTAGCCGTCTGAAGGCATCTGTTTGGGAGGCAGTGGCACTTGGGATGGTGGGTGGTCCGCACGAATCACCCGATGAATGGTTCCATCTCTAGTGCTGCGTCTTGTTCCTGGGCTGCTCTGTGAAAGTGTATTAGTCGCCTCGCTGAAATCGACATGCACGCGCTTTAGGCATTTCCCTCAGTCTTGGTTTCACAGACCTTATTAAAGAGGATGTGCGGTGAGCATGTGCTTACTGTGATCCATTCCAGTTGGTGCTGTTTTAGTTTCTCCTCCCTGAGCTTAGCTTATAATGTATTTATTATTATCAGTACTACTCCATTCACGGATTTCACATCTGATGTGTGTGTGGCTTAGGGGCGCCTCTTTCTTCATGGTCTGGGCAGTTAACACCGCTCACCCCCTCCTCAGTCCCCAGATGTCCTCCAGGGTCAGGGCCCCTCCCAGGTCACCCCCAGCACTCCCCCACGCCTAGCATGCTCTTTGGTGCCCTGGGACAGGATTCTTCCAGGGTAGAGTGGCCTTGGTTCAAAGCCAGCTTTGGCACCTGCTGTGAGACGGGGGGCTGCTCCAGTTCAGGTATTGATTGGATTCTTTTTGTGGATGACTAAAGGCCACAGCGAGGTCTTTAAGCAGGAGCCAGGTGCCTGGTGAGAAAGTTCACTGCGGAGCAGTGTGGGTGCTGGGGTCTTAGGAAACTGCTAGCACAGACTGGCCGAGAGGGGATGTGCCTGAGCTCATCTGCCCAGACCAGCCTGGCCCAGTGCCCAGGAGCCACAGACATCCACAGCTTGGTGAGCCAGTGGGACGCGGACAGGCTCAGGTCACCCAGGAGGAGGGCTGGTCAGAGAGGGGGCTGGGGCCCTGGTGTTTGGGGCATTGGATCCTCAGAAGCCTCAGTTCCTGGGCCCTAGCTTTCTAGCTCTGCAGGCTTTTCTAGCGCTCAGTCTGGGCGGGACCCCTCGGTGTTGGCTGGACAGGTGGGAATGGTCCTGTGTCTGGGTGCACTTGCGTATGAACGATCAGGCTTTTCCTGCGAACTCTGGGAACAGCTTGTCTGGGTGCTTCCATTCCCACTGACCTCCCACCCTGCCCCCCATGATGCAGAGGCCTGTGGGAGCAGATCTGTGTACGATGGCCCAGAGCAGGAGGAGTACTCGACCTTCATCATCGACGACCCCCAGGAGACCTACAAGACACTGAAGCAGGTCATTGCCCGGGTCGGGGCCTTGGAGCAGGAGCACGCCCAGTACAAAAGGGACAAGTTCAAGAAGACCAAATACGGGAGCCAGTGAGTATGGCACGCCCTTGCACGGGAAGTCTCAGCAGGGTGCATGGAGAACCAGAGAAGAGGAGGGCGTCGGGCCTGCCCTGGAGCCACTGTGCGCAGCGCGGGCGACTGCGCAGGCTCCTTGGCTCCTTCCGAGCAGGGCCACTCTTCCCTCCAGCACCCTCTGGGCAGTGTCCCGGGGGCAGCACCTCCTCCTCTCCCGCCCCCTGCCTCTTCTGTCCCTCCCGCCTCCCGCCTCCCTAGCTCATTTCCTTCCAAAATTAGGCTTTCCTGGGCCAGCAGCCCTACCTGCAGCACGTCCTGCACCTTTTCCCTGTCTCTGGAGGCCAGCTCTGGCCTGGGCCCTGTTGACGTCTTCTGAGGAGGGTTGGGGGTACAGCAACCCCATGCTCAGCCTGGCTGCCCATGTCCCCTCTGCCTACCATCCGCCTTGCACCTGCAGACAGTCTAGCCACACTGCGTGCCTCCTGCCACCCCAAGAAAGGAGGCCAGGGAGAGCCTCGCCGACTCTGGGAGCATTGGGTTAAATCGCTTAAAGGGCTCACTGCACACACAAGGTGCGCACGATCATGTGTGCACACGTGACCTACACACTGTGACCAGGGTCTCAGTGGTGCTTCCACCGGGGGCTTTGGGCTGATTCTTTTTTCCTTTGCTTATCTATGTTTCTCATATTTATGACAAAGGATACACATTACACATATAGATAGAAAGGAAGACTCTTAAGTGAAAGTGCATGTGAGTTCTGGTGGTGGAGGGGGCTGTACCTCATTTTCTCCTCTCCCATCCCTTTGCAGGGAGCACCCCATTGGAGACAAGAGTTTCCAGAGCTACATCAGGCAGCAGTCAGAGGTCTCCACCCATTCCATTTAAGCCTGGAGGCGCCCTGTCCCAGGACGGTGTCGTGGGCTGCACCAGAGAAGTCTCGGTCTCTGCAAAGCGGGGAGACAAAGACAAGAAGGCTGAGCAAGGAAGCGGAGGGACCCACACTTCCTCCACTGGCGCAGATGACAAGCATCAAGCTCATTGATCTTCTGAGACTCCAGGGCTGTTTCTATGGTTGCGATGCACTTTATTCACACTGGTGGGCGGGCGCCCCGACCTGGCCTTTCTGGACCGACCGACCGAGGTGCCATCTCGCCCTCTGCAGAGCGAGTGCTTCTGTCCCTCTCGTGCCCCACTGCCTCTGCTGGTCCCCGTGGCACCTGCCCCAGGGAGCCTGCTGCTCAGCACAGCTGGGGCCTTGAGAGCATTACTCTTTTCTACGAGCCTGCTGTCCCAGCACCCACGGGCAGGAGGCCTCCTGGTTTCAGCTTTTGATGTTGGTGTTGTTCCTGGCTGGAGGGTCAGTTTTTTGGCCGGGATGTGCAGAAGTGCACGGAGATCCCAATTTGAGGATGCTCTTGATGTTTCAGGGGTACAGGGTTCTTCTGTTGAGGTCCTGGTGGGGGCAGTTCCAGGCGTCTGTCCCGCAGGTTAGAATCCCGCTGCTGCTGGCTGCCCCCCGAGCCGCTGACCACTACGCTGGGAGCTGCTCTGTGCCCAGTTCAAGCACCGGTGGTGTTGGCTGTCAGCGGGGCCGAAAAGTAGGATCCACACTCGGGGAAGATTTTAAAAATAGAAAAAATAGAAATGTGCATTATTTTCAAGCCGTTTTTCCTAATGTTTTTTACTTAGCTCTTTGATACAAAATAACTCAGAATCTCCAAACCTGGACTTTTTAAAGGGAGGGTGCCACCGCAGGGCACAGAAGGGAATGGGGTACACCTCATGGAAACTAATTACAGGTCCTCCAAAGAAAGCGAGGAAAGGTCCTGGCCAGGGGGCTCAGTTATTAGTTGAAAGTCGTCTTATACACCGAAAGGTTGCAGGTTCGATCCCTGGTCAGGGCACATACCGAGGTTGCGGGTTCAGTCCCGTCGGAATGCATAAAAGAGACAACCAATCAGTGTTCTCTCCCCCACCCTCTCCCTCTCTTTCTGTCTCTCTCTCTGCCTCCTTCTCTCTCTAAAATCAGTACACATAGGATTAAAAGGAAACAGAGGAAGGGAAGGAATGCTGACCTTGAAGTGGGAGGCACTGAGCTGTGCAGACGCCCCCTGGGCCCCAGAAGCAGTACTGCACTGTGTTTCTTTGAAGCCCTTAGGAGCAGCGATGGGGGCTGCTTTCTCTGGGGGTGAGGGCGTCCTATAACGCAAGGGGAGCTGTTTGCTGACTTTTCCCAGGCAGCCCTCGTAGCTGCAGGCGCCGGCTTTGGAAAGCACCGTTCAGACACGCAGGACCATGTGCTTTTGTGTCCATCTTTGTTCTTGTTCGCAGGGACTGTCCTTCAGACTCAATCTAGATGGCAGATAGTAATGTTACTTGCTGCAAAAAAAAAGATGGTGGAGAAATATGTTGCAAAAAATAAACTTTGGGATGCTCACCGAATGGCAGTTTTTAACATGGATTTGTAACTTGATGTTTCTGTTTATAAGATACTAATGATTTGTGATGTATTTTACCGGCCAATTAAAACGGACATTTTATTCTTTGTGAGGACTGGCGTGGTTTCCCAGGAGTGACCACCGATAACTGCGCGAGTGGGAGATGGGGGTGTGCCGTGGAGCCGGGCCGGTGGGGAGCCGGGTGGCACGCCTGTGAGGACGGGTGAGGTTCGCCCCTGAGGACAGGGGAGGCACCTCTGATGGGCGAGGGCCAGCTTGGAGCTGCAGGCCGAGCTGGAAACCGTGGTGCTCTCGGGCAGCAAGGTGCAGGGCTGGGCACCGTAAGGGCTACCGGGGGCCTTCTGCTGGGAACCTCCGGTGTGGATGGAGACGGGTCCAGCTCGAGGAGGAGGCCGGGAAAGACAGGCTCTCTCCTGCATTACTGTCTGAGGACCCAGCTTGAGGACCAGGCGGGCCAGGCGACCGAGACAGGAGGAGCAGGAGGGGGACAGGTCTTCAGTGCCATTGAGCAGAGGTGGTTGTCCCCCCACCCCAGGGGTGCAGAGGGAGGAGCTGGGTGCACAACAGGGTCTCTAAGGGGGAGACCCCGCCTCTGCGGAGAAGAATGCATCTTCTCATTTTCTTATTTCTTTTCTCCATTTGTTTTTCGTTCAGTAGGTTTTTAAGTTCCCACCTGGGTCAGCTGCTCTGAAAAGAATCAGACATTCCTGGGGGTGCTGCAGCCACCTTCCCTGGGGCATGGACTGGGGGAGGGCACTGCTGTCACTTCTGCTCTGGGCAGGGGCAGCTGAGGGCAGGGTGGGGCCGAAGGGGGAGCGCCTGCCTGTGAGGTGAGAGACTGTGGGCACCAACAGTGCAGAAGAAGCACCCAGAGCAGGACCACAGGGCGGCTGCAGGGGCCACGGCGACTCGTGTTCACACCAGGACCAGGCCTGGCCAAGGGAATCAGGAAGGCTGAAAGGAGAAAACGCAGGGGAACACGGTGACCAGAAGCCCCTCTCCCAGGACCTCAGTGAGAGGTCACAGTTGGTTGCTGCCAATTCCTCTTTCTCCAGAAAACCTGTTACCAGAAGAAAAGTGCTGCCCCTAAGCGTCCCGCTGCTATGACTTTCCTCGGTTGCACTCTCCAAGGTTAACGCCTTTGGGGTTGGAGCAGGTGCCTCTGAGGAATGTCTCAGGTATGAGGGCACCACATCTGTGCCTGCATCGGCCACTCGGGGACCTGAGGCCCCATGAGCTAAGATGCTGTAAGCTTGTTGGATAGGATGGAAGTGCAGGTGGAATTAGGGAGTCATTTTGGCTTCATCCTAAATATTTACGACACCCCAAGAACAATCAGCTGGTGGCTTAGGAAAAGCACCTACTGTGGTTTGTCCCTCCTGGTCTCAGGTGACTGAGGGAAAACAATTGTGTGCTCAAACAGGACATCAGAAGTTTTCTGTTAGGCTGTGTCAAGGGCTGACGAAGCTCTGACCCGCAGTACCTCAGACCGGATTGTGTGTGATCAGTCCAAGAGGACTATTTCAAGAGGCAGTGAAGGTCACGTGAAGTCATTAGTGTGACCCCTAATCCTCTGTGGCTGCTGTCCTTATAAGAAGATTAGGACAGAGACACGCAGCGAGGGACGACCATGCGAGGGCACTGGGAGAAGGCAGCCATGAACACGCCAAGGGGAGAGGCCTCTCTCAATCTAGAAAGATGATGTTTAAGCCACCCAGGCTGCGCTTCTTTGTTATGACAGTGCCAGAAAACTCGTACTGACTGCAAATGCCAATTTAAGTGGATGTTTTCGTTAGTGCAGTTCAAACCGCCTGCCCCCAGACAAAGGGTACGGAGAAAGAACACCTTCCCACCATTGATGAGGTGACCACGGTCACCACCACTGCTGCAGAGTCCTGCGTCCACTTGCCCAATTGGGTCTGTGACAACTTTGTCCCCTCAGCCTGCCTGGCCCCCCCTTCCTCTCTTTTCTGGTGGATAGGCCAGTCATGGCCAGGAAGGAGGGCGGTGCAGCAAAGCCTGCTCCTCAAACCCACAGCCTAAGTGAAGGGCTGCTCTGGATGACCTCTGACCTCTGACCTTGCAGTGATGTCACAGGGGACACTTAGCAACGGAGGCCTCCTGGGCACACTCTTGGACTGCTCCCCTCGGGAGAGGTTGGAAGCCATGTTCTCTGTCTAAGGCCGTGTTGAGAGCCGGTCCCTCTTCTTTCCCGACACCTGACGGGAGCAGAAGGATGGAGAAGGATGCCAGCAGCGTGCACAGGAGGCACCGGCCGGGTGCCGGGGCCCCTCCTTTGGGGGCGGCCACTGGACACCTCAAGGGGACCAGCGAGGCGGCTGAGCTGCAGAGGAGCAGGAGCATGGGCGGCTTGCACCAGAAGGGGGACCCTCCGAGCAGCATCCAGAAGCTGGGCAAGGAGCTAGGTAGGGCCTGCAGCCTCCCTCCCCGTGGCCCGCTCTGCCAAGGCCAAGCGGCAGGCACTGAACACGGGCTCTCAGGCGACAACCAGACTGGGGCTCTGGTGAGGCCAGATTGAGGGCCGGGCACCCACTGTGGGTGGCCGACTGGAAGTTCCTCTGGGGGCGGGGTGAAGGGAGTGAGGACCGACCGGGACCTTGGGGAGCCCTGTGGGCCTGCAAAGCCATCAGACTCACGGAGAACACCACTGCCTCGGGTGAGCTAGCACGGGAAGTGTCTCAGGTTTATAGTGAGACCCTGGGTGACACAGTTTCTTTGAGTCCAGCCTCCATCTGATTCAAGGAACCATGGCACCTCCCAGGGCCCGGGGTCAGCTTTGAACCTGTGAGGCATAGTATTGCCTGTCACACTTGGCATAATGTGGCTTTTAAATTGTAAAGTGAGTAGGCTTGTCCCTTACGTTAGGCCATGTTTGCCACTCTAGGATATTTCTAGGATATTTCTAAACATGCCAATTGAGGCCGTGGTATGGTCACAGAGGGGATGGGCCCCCAAACGCCCTAGTCCTTAGGTGGACCTGCACCTTGAATATTAGCTAACACGGGCCCCCCACCTGTAGGCATCTTGTGGCACTTCCCCCAGAGCAGCAGGACCCTGCGTTGGCTGCAGGACAGTGGTGACCAGTACAGTCACTTGCTGGGGCACTTCGCAGTCTGGTTCTCCTGGGAATTCATGCCAGGAAGTGGCCTTTTACGAGGGTGTCAGAAGGCCACGGAAATGAAACAGTAAACGGGAACACGGCTCGTTCAAGCCCTAGGGGTGCAGCTCCGGCCCGTGTGGCTCAGCTGGTTGGAACGTCGCCCCGTAACTGAAGGGTGTAGGTTTGATTCCTGGTTGGGGCACTTACCCAGGTTGTGGGTTTGATTCCTGGTCCAGGCAGGTATGAGAGGCAACCAATCAATCTTTTTCTCTCTCTCTCTTCCTCTTTCCTCTCTAAAAGCATTGAAAAAAAATCCAAAAAGATGTCTTTGGGTGAGGATCAAAAAAGTAAAAGGGGTAGGGGCGTGAAAATATTTGTTCTTCTGTAGTGTAATAATCCAAAGATGTGTCATTTGAGAAGGATGAGGACATCCTGGCCCAGCGCCAATGCCGGCGAAGTTGGTGTGGCTCCTCCGTCCCCTCCCGGTCAAGCTCTGCGCAGGGCCACGATCCTCCAGGCTCACTCGAGGAGCAAAGTTCCCCAAAGAAGAAATCAGCCTAAGTTTGCCCAGGAAATATTGCAAGTAGACACAGAGGGCACGTCTCCAGTAATGATGGCCCTGGGACGGGCAGCAGGAAGGCCTCTGTGTGGCCCACTGTCTGCCACCAGGGCTCTTAGACTGTGTCGCTTAATCAAGAGCCTGAGGACACAGAGCAGGAGTCCTCGCCAGCTGCATGCTGGGGAAGGCTGCCCCTGGCCTTGCTGCCCACACTGTGAGGGTGGGGGTCGGGGGAAAAATGGTCTTTCTTTCCTGATGCTTCAGATGTATAATAGGAAGAAACCAGATTTGAAGACCTGCCTAGGACAGCCCTCTGTCTTCAAAAACAGGCACATACAGGCCAAGAGGCCAGCAGAGGTAAATGCAGCTCACCTCCTCACACCGCCACATCAAAATTACAACTAAATCATAGAACAGCCATCACTCAGAACCATCAGAAACTGAGTTGAATGGAAGTCTGACAACTACAGAATTAAAGAAACCATATCCATCCAGACTGGAGGAGGGGTGGAGATGTGGAATGGGCTAGTCCCACACGCATGTGTGGTGGATAAAAATTTGGAAGGGATGTCTCTGGTCCCATGTGAGAAGTCCCAGCCCCACACCAGACCCCCCCAACCCAGGGTTCCCATGACAGGAAGATAGGACCCTATCACTTCTAGCTCCAAAAACCAGCAGAGACTCACTAGGAGAAACTTCTGGGGTCCCAAGCAGTTCCTCTTAAAGAACCCACACACAGGGACTTCCAGCACCAGGGTAGCAGCTTGAAGGCACCAGCGGTACATAGGGAGGAACTGAAGTGTCTGGCATCAAGGGGCGAGCTGGGGGACAGTTTCTCCCAGACAGAAAGGTCATTGTCACTTTTCTGAACCCTCCCTCCATAGAGCAACAGAGCCAGCAGGCAGGTGTCATATACGAAGCTCCATCAACCTGTCTAACACTGTTTGCCTTGCCCTGGTGATCCCACGGGACTCTGTCCTATCCAACTTATGGAACCAGCCAAGCTGTTAACAGAGGCTTTTCCATATGAATGGCTGGTCCTGCCTCATGCTTCACAACTTACTAAAGCCTATCAAACAAACAACAGCCAAACTCAGTGAACCCCTAGCCCCTGTACCTTTTGCTAAGTGGTCCCAGGCCCAGCACTAGCAGCAGCCAGTCTAGATTCACAGTTTAACTTTGCCTGGAAATTTCCAAGTCCAGCACAAGTAGCAGCCATCTCAGATTGCTTTATAGCCCAGTCAGGATAGCCCCAAGCAAAACACATGTGGGGGCTGAACTTGGCCTGTACCACCTGGGAAACCACAGAATGCAGAGCACCACCACCCTGCCCCTGCACTGCTGGCCCTCCATGGAAGACAGAGATGGGTGGTCAGTGGTCACAGGCAATCCTTGAAGCTGACAGGTGTGGGTACATCCCTCCCATAGACCCTTCAACAGCGATCAAGGAGCAACTACGAGAGGAGGGTGTACTCAGCCCACATGAAGGATGCACCTCAAGTATTCAGCTTGGGTAATAGGGGAGGCTGTGCCAGTGGACACTACAGGACACCTACTGCATTAGGCCACACTACCAAGACAGAGTCAAAGCAGCTCTACCTAATACATATAAGCAAACACAGGGAGGCAGCCAAAACAAGGAGACAAAGAAACATGGCCCACATGAAAAAAACAGATCAAAACTCCAGAAAAAGAGCTAAGCAAAATGGAGATAAACAGTCTAACAGATGCAGAGTTCAAAACACTGTTTATAAGGAATGCTAAAGGAATTTATTGAGGACCTTAACAGCATACAAAGGAATGAGCCAGAAACAAAGGACTCACTAATTGAAATAAGGAACAATTTACTGGGAAACAACAGTAGAGTTAATTAAGCCAAGAATCAAATCAATGACTTGGAACACAAGGAAGCAAAAAACAACCAATCAGAACAACAAGAAGAAAGAATTTAAAAAATGAGGATTGTGTAAGCAGCCTCTGGGACAACTTCAAGTATTGCAACATTTGCCTCATGGGGTGCCGGAGGAAAAGAGAAAAAGCAAGAAAAATGGAAACCTATTTGAAAAAATAATGAAAGAAAACTTCCTTAATTTGGTGACTGAAATAGACATGCAAGTCCAGGAAGCAGAGTCCCAGACAAGATGGATGCAAAAGGTCCACTGCAAGACACATCATAATTGAAATGCCAAAGGTTAAAGATAAAGAGAGAATCTTAAAATCAGCAGGAGAAAAGAAGTTAGTTACCTATAGGGGAGTTCCCATGAGACTGTCAGTTGATTTCCCAAAAGAAACTTTTCAGGCTAGAAGGGCCTGGCAAGAAATCGTCAAAGTCATGAAAAGCAGGTACCTTCAGCCAAGATTGTTCTACCAGCAAAGACATTTAGAATCAGAGGGCTGATAAAGAGCTTTTCCCAGACAAGAAAAAATAAAGAAGTTCATCTTCACCAAACCATTATTATAGGAAACATTAAAGGGACTTATTTAAGAGAAAAAAAGGTCGAAACTATGAACAATAAAATGGCAAAAAAAAAAATACGAATCTATCAACAATTGAATCTAAAAAACTAAGCAAACATGAGGAACGGAGACAGAATCATGGATACGGAGAGGGTTTTGATGATTGGTAGATGGGAGGAGGTTTGGGGAATGGGTGGAGAGGTCAGGGGACTAAGAAGTACAAAGAGGTAATCATAGAGTAGCCATGGGGATGTAAAGTACAGTGTAGGAAATGGAGTAGCCAGAGAACCTAGACATGACCCATGAATGTGACCAGTGGTAGGGGGGCTGCCTGAGGGAGTGGGGAGTGTTGGGTGAAAGGGAGCAAAGGGGGAAGATTGGGACAACTGTTAGAGCGTAATCAATAAGATGGAATTAGAAATAAAACAGGCACAGACAAGCATACGCACATGCGCGCATGTACACAAGCTAGTAGGCTCCTGAGGGTCTCCCAGAAACAGTCGTTTTTTAAATCCCTGCTTGGAAAGTATTGATCCTGGATCGTTTTGGTCCTCTTAGCTGAGGCTGAGGCTGGAGTGCTCCTTTCCTCCCTGAGGGGTGCCTTCAGAGCTGCAGTCGCCACCCCCCCTCCTCGGAGGACACGGTCCAAGACCCCCAGGGATGCCTGGAACTCAGCCCTGTATATACTGTGCTTTTCCTACGTGTGCACACATTTTCCCTTAAAGGAAACCCTTCACGGCTTCTTTCTGCACGCTTGTGCTTTGGGGCTGTTATTAAGGTAAATGTCCCTTGAACTGCACAAGCAGTGTGGTGCCATGACAGTGGAACTGGTAACCAGGACGGCTACCAAGTGACTGGCAGGCAGGTAGCCTGCACAGTGTGGGTACGCTGGACAGAAGGTTTTTCACGTCCCAGGCAGGATGGAGCAGGACAGCTAGAGATTTCAGCAAGCTGCTCAGAATGGCACCAAGTTAAAAATGTATTGTTTGTTTCTGGCATTTTCCATTTAATACTTTCAGACCGAACGTAAGTGGGGACAACTGTACCAAGTTTTAAAATTCTCTGAGGACAGATGTCCTACCCCCTCCCTCGCACCACCACCCTTTGCTCTCAGGGCTTTTTGTCCCTGGTGTGGCCAGTGTCTGCCTAGGACGGCACAGCCACGGATCGAAAATGTCCCCTGAGCCTGTGTGGGCACCGTGGAAGGCGAACATGAAGGATACCTCGTTCCCATCCACAGGGAACTCGGGCCAGTCGGAGACAAAGAAAATGCCCAACAACACAGCCCAAGGCCCCAGGCGCTGAGCATCAAGAAGGCCTGGCCAGGATGTGAAGCTCCCTCCAAGGCGGGTTGCTGTACACCAGGCAGGGCTGCCCAGGTCCCCAGGAGGGACAGCACTGGAAGATGGCAGGGATCGGAGGACGTGTTCCAGGAGCAGAACAGCGTGAGAGTCTGTGAGGACTGTCTAGGTCGGACTCCCCAGAGAGAGAAGCAAGAGCAGGGCGCCGGGCGCCTTCCGGAACCAGGCCGTCACCTCCTCTGTCGGGCAGGCGCCCCAGTGTGTGGCCTGTGAGCCGAATTCACATCGAATGGAAGGCCTGGAGTAGCTGATCCGACAACCAAATTCTGGGAGGCAGTTCTCGAAGACAGGGCCTGCTCAGAGGTGCCCTGGCCAGGCCTCCCATCAAAAGTATTACTTGAGCCCTGACTGGCATCACTCAGTGGGTTGTGTGTCCTCCCAGGAACTGAAACTTTGCCGGTTCAATTCCAGGTCAGGGCACATGCCTGGGTTGTGGGCCAGGTCTCCAGGTGGGGGGGTGAGAGATGCAACCAATCAATGTTTTTCTCTCACATTGATGTTTCCCTTCCTTCCCCTCCATTCCCTTCTCTCTAAAAATAAATAAATAAAATCATTTTTAAAAGTTTTACTTAAGCTTCGGCATTTTTCCCAGGCTGTGCTGGCATTTGGGGCCCTCGGATGGTGTGTTGGGGGTGGTGGGTGGGCCAAGCTGCTCGTGGGGAGGGGCAGCTACTACAGGGAACCGCTCGTCCCAGCCATTCCAGGCTCAGATGTGACTGTGCAGAAACAGAACCGTCGGCGTTGGTGACCTTGGGTCCCCTCAGGGGCTGCCTCTTAGATACTCCTGAGGGCTCTCCTGGTTGACAAGCTCCTAGAAGTGGCAGTCTCTGTGCTCACTGAAAATCGGTATGAGGCCCATGCTCTGATCCTGCCGGTGTCACCAAATGCACTTTTACCTCAATTGTTTAATGACGGCCACTACTTATGGGAGGCTGAACAGCTGGAAGGACAGCCCGCTGGCTGCCAGGCAGGTTTCTGAGCCACCAAGTGCACTGGTCTCTCACGCCTGGACGAAGATCCTTACCACCTAGACTTCAGTCAGCAATTTGCTTGGGAAAATGGTTACACTGAACCCCAGGCAATGCCCTTCAGAGGAGGAACTGTGAGGAGGGGAGTTTGCTGGACGAACTGCGTGTGGCTCAAGTCCCACCTCCTGGGGCTGCGTCACCCGCCCCTGGGGTCAGGGCTGCCCAGTGGGCTCCCGCCCCCACCCTTTATTTCTGCTGCATCTAGTCTAGGGTGCTGGGGCCGGGGGGACTTCGAGAGGCCCCCCTGGGTCTCGCACATTTATTGTAAGGGCAATGCCTCATGCTTTACCCCGAGTTCTGCCTAGAGAGGTCCTGGAGTGGCCATGTCCGGGATGGGGCCCTGTAGGGCGTGGGCAACATCCTGGGCCAGGGAATCGGGAGACAACCTGTCAGGATGAAAACTGAGATCGCTTCAGTCGTAAGCATCAGTCGTCAGGCCGCACCGCAGTGCGGCTGGAGCTGCAGGGCGCCCAGCACCCAGCGCCTGTGGGGTGGTCCCATCCATCCCAGTGGGGCTGGGCTGTGGGGCCCCGGGCCAGCAGCGCTCCCAGACCACGTGATGGGAGTGTTATGACAAACTGCTCCTTCCTCCTCAGAGCCCGAAGATCAGGAAAAGGACCTAAAAAGTGACGCTGAAGACACCGTCTGGTAGGTGGGCTTTGTCCGGCAGGGGTGACTTTCTAGGGCCTCGTGAAGGACACAGGAGCCAGTGGGGGCAGGAAGTGGGGCCAGCACCAAGGTCAAGACCTGGAGGCCCTGAGGATTCCCGAGGAGTCCTGAGAGAACCCCAGGCACTCAGATGGGAGGGCTCGAGGCAGGAGGAGCTAAGGTAGCTCTCAGGGCTGCAAGCCCCCTCCCTTCCCCCATGCCCACTTCTTCAGGCAGCCCCTCCAGCTGCAGCCCAGAGTCAGGGAGGTGTCCCGGTCCCAAACCACCCAGCCTGCTGGAGGCCTCGTGCTGGGAAGGGTCTGGATGTGCAGTGGTGTGGACAGAACCAGCCTGAGTAGCACGGCCTTGGCCTCGGCACCTCTGCAGGCCGCCTGCCTTGTCTACGCACCCACCCCCTGCCCTCAGGGAGGGGCGGCCCTGCACCTTCAGGTGCCTCTCCACCTACACATACAGTTCAGACCTGCTCCCAGAGCTGCCTGTGTCCCAGAGGGAGAAAGTTGTCATCCTGAAGCTGTGACACTTACTTCAAACCCTTGTTTCCACTTCTACAGTCAGGCAAGCCTAGAGGAAGACAAGCAGGGAAAGAACCAGGATGCCCTTGGGAAGTCGGACCACGAGAGTGAACAGTCAGATCATGAGAGTGAACAGTCAGACCAGGAGGGTGGGAAGTTGGAACCAGAAGTCGAGAAGAGTGACTCCGAGGCCAGTGACCAGGAGCGGCAAGAAGAAGACGAAAGCATAGACATACGCACCCAGGAGGCCAAGGTCAGACTGTGGTCCTTCAATGTCCACAGACTGCCGTGCCCCAGGGGTGGGGTCTTACCTTTAGTGACCTGTTTGGTGTCTTCTTACAGGAACAGGAGTCAGGGTCCATAAAGCTGGAAGTCCCTCTGGAAAAAAAGGCAAGAGCTTTTTAACGTGGTGACAGAAGTCGGATGGGGAGGCCTATCAGGCATCGTCCTGCTGGACCCTGAGCGCATGGTGGGCATGTGGTCCCGAGTCATCTTGGCAGGACCGTGGTACATAGTCTGGACTAAGTCCTAGCCTGACCCCCAGAGAGCCTTCCAGGTCAAACTCTGCTCTTGGCCTTATGCTGAGGCGTGCTAACTCCAAACAGTGCGGCAGCTAAAGGCATGTGGGTCCCTGACAAGGACCCAACACCCCAACACTCAGCTTGACCTTGGCCCAAGGAAACATCCCCAGTCCCAGTCCCAGAGCCTGAAGCATTGGCCAGAGACATGTCAGCACTATCGTAGGAATCAGCACAGGGCACTTTCTGAGGAAGGTGGCTGTCATTCTCCATTTTAATTCATATGGTGGGGAACGGCAAGGTAGCTGGATATGTTTTACCAGGATTTACAACAGATGGTCCTTGGTGTGATTCCAGGGGGTTTGGGGAGTCTTTCACCCATGCCAGATCCTTGTCTTGGTGTTGATTAAAGTGCTGCCATTGGAAAGACATTGTAGATGGAGCCCAGGTGCCCAATGAGAGATCTTAGGGCAGCAACACCTGAACTGTGGGGCTTTTCACATCTCAGAGACAGTCTTTACAATTTGGCAAAGTGGGAGGCGAAGTGAAAGATGCTTCCCAACTGAGCAGTTCTGGGGTGGGCTTGGAGGGGCTGCCCCAGATCTGGACATGGCCTGCCCCCACAAGCCCTGGTTCTCAGAGGGAAGAGGAGGGAGAGAGTCTCTGGGGTGCCAGGGACCTGTTGGGAGGCGAGCAGGGAGAGGTAGGAAGGCCACGCTCCTCCCTGCCCTCGTCTGCCAGAGCTGGCCCACAGATGCCTTGCCATCCACACGGCCAGCAGCTCTCTGCCTAGCTTGGCAGGGTCCCCGACTGAGCATTGCCAGTGTCTGGTGGTCCCAGCGGTAACTGCTCTGACCGACTGCCCAGGGTCAGGAGCACACGCTACCTCCCAGGAAGTCTGCTCACCTCCCTAGCTTACCCAAGCTTGTCATCCATGTCTCTTTGGTTTCCATTCACAGAAACCATCTATGTTTGTGGAGATTGATCTGGGAGACCATGCCGAGGAGGTAAAAAACCTTCACACAACAAAGCCAAACCACCTGCCGGGAAATGCTTGTACTCGGGGCCCACAAGGCTTTCCTGGGGAGCCAGCCTTGTGCACGTGTTTGTTGGGTGCAGAGGCAAAGACAGGCTCGGTGCATAGAGAAAGCTTCCGGGTGGCGAGGATTGCCCTGAGGGGCCGGAGGGCACCCTCTTCTCCTTTTCATTCTCTCTCACTCTAACCTGCACACATTCCAACAGCATCAGAGGCTCCTGGGCTGAGTCAACTCTTGGGGTGCCCTGGGCCCTAAGAACTCCTTTGTGGGACTATGCTGAGGTGGTAGAAGGGGCACAGGCTTGGGAATTTGGAGACTTGGCCTCCACATCCAGCTCTGCCAGTAAATGCTCCAATGCACCTTACCTCTCCAAGCCTCAGTTGTCTCATGTGTAAAATGGGAATCTTAGTAGGACCCGCACCCAAGGGTTGTCTTGTAAAGCTCTCAAAGAGTGTCTGATTACCATCATCATTACCATCATCCTCATCATCACCACCATCACTGCCATCACCATCAACACCTACACCATCACCACCTGTACCATCACCATCATCACCATCATCATGATTGTCTTCATCACCATCATCACCACCTACACTATTACCATCCTGCTACCACCATTTTCATCATCACCACAATCACCATCATTATCACCACCATCCCCTTCATCACCACTATCATCACCTATACCATTACCATCGGCACCACCTTCATCATCATCACCACCACCATCACATCATCCTTATCATTACCATCAGCAGCAGCGTCATCACTTTTGTCACTATTGTCATCACTGTCACATCCTCATCCTCATCATTTTCTGTAAAGAGAAGTGGTTGACCCCAGGGCCTCTCTGGGATGTGTCTCTCCACTTTTCTGCTGCAGCAAGCCGTCATCTTTTAGAAGTTTTTTGTCTCGATAAGTTTAATCTCCTGCTGGGAGTTATTTTTTCCAGATTGCCCCTTTTATGTCTGCCCTCAGAACATGCAGCACAGCGAAGACAGATGGTTACTAACTCCTGATGAGGCGACCATGGGGCACCACAGGTTCTAAGGACTCAGGGAGGCTCGGCCTGTGGCAGATCTGAGGCTAAGGGCTCCCTTCTCTGATCTGTAATCCAGGGGTCACGGTGGCCATATCCAGGGCACAGTCCTTGGTCAGGGTCCCTTAATTAGAAATTTCCCCTTGATGGCGCCCCCTGTTGTGAGCTGATGCTCAGGGCCAGTGCAGTCTTCATGACTCTGTTTGACCCTTGCCAGGTCCAGCATGTTCGTCCTGGTGCCTGTGGTAAGGTCTTTCCCCCACTCCATCCCCTAAAGGACTTCTGCTGCTTCCCGCAGGTGGTCACATGTGTCAGGAGAGAGGAGAAGCAGCCCCAGATGGACATGGGAGATTTGTCAGAAGACGAGTGAGTGATGAGTTCGCACCTGGGGAGGTGGGGAGGCTTTTCCTCCACCACAGCTTCTGGTGGGCCCACCGTGCCCCATGCAGAGTGGGCAGAACCAAGCCTGCCTGCCTCCCCTCTTCCTCTGGGGGCGCAAAGGGACCTGAGCACCTACCGAGTCTGGAGGGGCTGAGAGGCCGGCAACAGGGCCTCTAGCCACCTACGGGATCTGGCTCAACCTTCAATTTGAGTCCCCCCTCACTCGAAGGCCAGGCTCTCTCTTCCCATTTCTTCAACTGACAAAATGGCCAGAACGTGGGGGATGGAAAGAAGGGAAGAAGAGGTGAGAGCAGGGTGTTGCCTTGTGGATGTGCCAGCTTCTTAGTTTGGGGGTTTGGCTGCGAGGGTCACACAACTTGGTTCTACAGGCAGCGGGAGGACCCCTCGCAGGTGTCCTGACTACCTACGCCCTATTGGGGTGCAGACTGTAGGGCCGTCAAAGCCCCATCGCTTACTTCCTGAGGCCATAAAAGGTGCTGGGAGAGGGTAAGGTGCTGGGAGAGGGTGAGGTGCTCACTTCTGTGCCAACCAAGGGCCCAAGGGTCTGTTTTGCTTTAAACAATACAGAGAAACACGAGGAAGGAAATAGCAATTCATTCAATTTCTCTCCACTAAAAATTAATAACTACATTAATATCTTGGTTTAGTTGTTTGCACATTTTAATCAGAAAAATCTCTCTCTTTGCTTGTAAAACGAACACCCAGTCATTTTAAATAAATGAGGTGGAACAGCACACCAACCAGGAGCGTTCGGAATCCCCCCACCCCCACTCAGAAACTGAGCACCGCACAGGAGCTCGTCCTGTGGAAGCACAGATGTGGAATAGAGGCGGCCCTGGGGCCCCCAGACAGGCGCTCCAGTGAAAATGGGTCTCCGTGGGCACCATTTTTCTGGGTCGCCAGCTCCGCTGAATGCTCGTGGCATTATAGCCCTTCGCTTATTTGCTCCCTGCTGTTACTACCATTTAGTCCCCAGATCTGTGTGCATCAGAGGAGAGAGGTCCTGTGAGGAAGCTTTATTCCCTCTTCACTCAGAAGATCCTCCTCTTTTCTGACCTCAGCTTCTACAGCCGCTCACGTCAGCTTTGGCGACGTGAAAGACAGCGGTGGCCTCCTTGCACTCTCAGACCTAGGCTTAAAACAAGTCCTTTTGTTTCTTAATGGACGTGGTGATGGATTCAGCCACACAGGATGCAGCTCAGTGGCTTTACTTCCTGTCCCAAAGGCCAGACAGTCTGGTCCCTTGGTCTCAGCTCATCACCCCTGGGATTCAGCTGCCCCAGAAAACCTGTGAGATGGGCCAGCACTCCGAAACCAAGCCTGGACCACTGGAGGCCTCCAGGCCAGTGGGAAGGGGGTCTGCAGTGGGCCCGCCTGGAGGGCCAGGCCTGGTCATTTGTTGGGCAAGGCCACCAGCTTGCTCTGCTGCCTTTGCTCACCTGCGGTCTCAGTTTTCCTCACAGCTAAGGCTTCTCTGTCCAGGCCTCTCCCTCGGGCCCATTCAGATGGTGGGACCAGGTGCGCATGTGCCGGCGGCCCATTAGCAGCCCCGTAGGATGGATTGGCACCGAGCTGTGGGGGTCCTCGCCACATGAGGGGGCCGCTGCCTCCGCCCCGAGTCAGCCTAGGTCAGAAGGGGAAGCCCCAGAGACCACCCCACAAGGAGAGAAGCCCAGGCTGAGACTCTCTGGGAATGTACAGGGCCGGATGTGGGGACCCATCGCCTAGGACACCTGGCTCAGCTAGGCTTTAAGGCCTCTCATGTCCAGGGGTCCTTTCTGACTCAGGCCTTCCAGGAAAGAAAACAAAGGCCATGGTAGTGGGCTGGGAAAACCCGGGCATCTGGAAGGAAGGCAAGCCTGGCTCTGCCCTGGGATCCGATTTTGTGCACAGGGCCCGGCAGCTGCAGAGGCAAGCCCTTGGCTCCCCGGGACTGGAGCAGTGGGATGCAGCACAGGCTGGAGTGGAGACCCTGTGGCGTGCATGCACTTGGGGTGAAGGGGCGCTGCGTGGGGCCTGGGCTCCGCACTCCGGGCACCTGTGGCCCCACGGGCTGCCTGTCTCTCCACCCCCCTCTCCGCCTCCAGGACCAGTACCAGCTGGGTGTGCTGCATTCCATACTCCACCAGAAAGAAAGTGAAGGGGAGCGTGTAGCAGCCCTGGAGAAGGTGCTCTGCACACGGCGACCGGCCGGGGTGAGCAGGGGGGTCGTGGGGGACAGGAGGTAGCATAGAGTGGGGCTAGGTTGCCTATCTGACCTCCCCTCAGCTTCCTTGGTCCCCCTGAAGGCCCGCCCTTTATGACCAGTAACCGAGGATCTCCACTTCTGTCTCCTGGGGTCGGCCAGAAGGCACAGAGGGACACAGACCAGCAGCAGGCCACGCACACCTGTTTCAGGGGCGCCGGCGACTGCATGGGAATCGCCGACCCGCTGGGCGAACCATGCTGCCCTCCTTCAGAAAGACACAGTAAAGAGTGCACAGAGATGCTCTCCTTCTTTGGCCGCTCTCGTCAGATCCCGGCTCCTTCCTTTTGTGCATCTCATTCTGTGAAACGGAAGCTGGGGATGGGAGGTGAGCCCAGGGACACACTGCAAGGTGGCTGAGCTTCCCAGGTTATGGGTATGTGACCCTTCAGGTCCCAGGAAATTCCATAAGCAAAGCCAGACCCCCACAGGCCTGGAGTGGCCCACAGAGTCGGTCCCAGATCACGTGGGGGTCCTGCCCTAAGGAGAGATGACTCCAGGAGCCCTGGGGCAGGTCGGGCATCCTTCCCTGTGGTCCCAGGAGGCTGAGCTTTGTGGGTGAAGCACCCTTGCAGGTGGGTGCGAGAGGTGCGGTGCCGCATTTCACACAGACCCTTACTGGGAGCCCCGGGGGCCACGCAGAGCAAATCAAGGGGCAGGGAGAGGCCGCCTGCAGGGACGGGACAGATGCGGGCACAGGGTCGCACAAAGGAAGACTTGACAGGGGCTGTGGAGCCCTTTGTTCGGCTGGCTGGGTCTTGGCAGACTCATGCCAAGTGGGTGAATATGTGACTGCCCTGTGGTTCGGCTGCAGACTGAGAACCACAGGCCCAGCCTCATCCTGTGAGTGGCGTCCCACCAGGCTGCACCCAGCATGCACACTCTCACACGCAAACGTGTGTACCCACACACACACTCACGCAGGCAACTCACAAACACATGCATGTTTGTGTGTACCACATACATGGCACACGTGCACACCACACATGTGGCACACATGTGCGCGTACCACATGCATACACACAGGCACACCTCACACATGGCACACCCACACACACAGTACACAGGAGTGGGGGGGCATGGGCAGGTGGCGAGCAGCATCTCTGAGGACCATCTGGGCCCAGAGGTCAGAGGACATAGGTGAAAACCTCAAACGCCCGTCATGGAGGTGAGACGTGTCCGCCTTCTCAGTTCTCCCCTGGACCCCGTGACCACTGTCTGGATGAGACTAGGGAGGCACAGAGACAGCTGGAAACCAGGACCTGTGACCCTGCCCCCAAAACAAGCTTTCTTGCTGGGGGCGCGGGGGCTGCAGCTGGGACTGACAAATGAGCGGATCACAGAAAGGGCCGCGGCACTGGGTGCTCACTGCGCCTTAGAGGCTGGGTGTGGCGGCTCATTGCCCTGGACAAGGAGACATCAAGCAAGTACCCTGTGTCACAGCCCTCAAACAGAAAGGCACCCAGGAAGCTCCGGAGAAACAGCTGCATTGTCCCTCGGCGGGTGCAGGAGGAGGAGACCTCTGACCCCCAGCCCCCTGGGCTCTTGCTGCAGAGCAGAGCAACATCGCTGGGCTGTTCCCCTGGTTCCTCTGCACCTGGCACTGTGCCACAGGCCAGGCCACCCTTTTCCCTGTCTCCATCATCCATCCCTTGCTGCTGTGAGTGGCTGGCCCCATTCTGAGCCTTATGCTGCATGTACTGCCCACAGCAGAGCCTTAGGGGCCCAGAGGACCTACCCGTTTGCATAGTATGGCTAGTTTGGGAGTTATCTTTCACTAATTTAGCAAATAAGCCCTCCAAAATCATTTTACTGTTCGTTGGGCCTCTGAACCTCAAGCCTCGAGGTAGTTCTGTTTGCCCTGTCGTCTGGGGGCATCTGTAGAGAGAGCTAGTCCACGGTGACCCTGGGTGGGAGGGACAGCCCAGAGGAACCCTGGTTTGCAGGTAAGGTGGTTGTGGCTTCTGCCAGCATGCCGAGCTCTGGAGGGGTGGGCAGGGAAGCCAGGTCTCCCTGGAAGCCAGAAACCCTTGAGCGACGAGTGTGGAACAAGTTCTGAGCCTCCATTCCGGGTCCTCCTGGGCCAGCAGAGGCCCCTTCTGTCCTCCCAGAGGCTCCCGCAGAGCAGGCATAGCTACTTGTGGGGTGTGTCCCCAGCCCTGCGCAGCCCGCCTCTCTCCCTACTGCCGGAGAAAGGCACCAGCCCCAGGGGTGATGAGGAGTGAGGTGAGCCCTGGAGTCAGAGAAAGAGCAGGTGACCTTGAGGAGTCTGTAACCCCCAGAGTGAGGATTTTCCTGACTGTTGCTGCCACAATTCCGTGTTTGCTTCAGCACAGCAGGGAAAGCAGAGCCTCCAGCCTGCGAGCCCCTGGAGGCTGTTGGAGCTGCTTCCACCGGGTCTCGCTGGGCGGGCTCGGCCAGTGCAGGGCAGACCACTCAGGGGCAAGGGCGGAATGGGCGCCAGCACTGGTCAGGCTGGCCCACATATAGACGGCCATTTCGGTTTAGGAAGGGGTGGAGCCAAATGCTCCAGGCTACCTGTATAGCTTCCCCTAGACTTCCCCTTCTTTGGAGGGCCCCCACCGACTCAGCTTACGGGGGCCACAGCTACAGGCCGAGTCGGTGGCATTTTCTGTCTCAGACAGGCTTTGCCCAGTGATCCCTGGTGGTGGCTCCCTGGAGACCTAGGCCTGATCCAGGTCCCTCCTCGGCCCCTGCTGGCC